TGTTCGTAAGTTACCACCGGTTCGGAAAGCAGTTTCTGTTGAGAAGAAACCGGCAAGAAACTCAACAGTTGCTCTTTTTTAAAAGGTCAGTTTACAATATAATGTTACAGGTATAATCTTGTTTTAGCCTACGTGAGTATCAACAGTATTAACCCCACACATTGGCGTCGTCTACATATTCAGCAATAGTATAATAAGCTTTAGCCATAAGTTTACTTTTAACTTTTTGTTTAAATTCATCAACTATATTTAACGAATTAACGAATAACAGTGTATTATACTTACGTTCAAAGCTGAATGTTCATTTAAACTTGTATCGTCACTTGAGCTGTTCTTTATGTATGCAGTAGTATTGAAGAATTGGTCAATGTTTGGAATTTCGGTTGCAATAACATGCACCGGATCATTGGTTGTGTCTTTATACAGTTCTATGTAATCGATAATTGGATAATCCGTCGCGTTGTCGTCCTCTAAATCATAATAATCTTCAAACTCGTCAATTCTCAGTTCGTTGCCCATAACATCTTTATTTTTATCTTTACTATTGTGATTGTTTGAAGAATTATTTTCGACTCTAATGTCGGTTTTTAATTTAAAATCTTTTTTATTAATAATCGTTTTATTTTCTTTGTCTGAAGCGATATTTTGTGCATTAATGAAAGTTAAATCCTCTGTAAATACCGTGCTTTTAAATTCATCTTCATTTTCGGAATGTCCTTCAAAGTATAAATCAAACAAATGTATTGCTTGCTTAATAGCATTTATCAATTTGTTAGATGGAATTTCAATTGCCACTACAGAAGTATCGGACCGATGGTCGTCATTATATTTGGTTTCCTTAATAATTATGTCATACTTGAGACCGCTTTTAATAAACTCTTTCATGAATTCACTAAAACATTTGAAATGTTCACCACATTCACTTTTCATTTCGACAAATTTGAATGACACGGTACAAATAATCAAAAAGCACTTTAAATTCATGATCACCTGTCTTCACCGAGTCTCGCCAAAGACACAAACTGCTACTTCATAGTGTAATTTATTTAATGCAGACTTACTACCATTTTTGCGCATTTCGGACTCTATTACAAGTTTAAAAAGATCTAATTTATGCCGTCGTGATTTGTTCAATGCAATCGCTAGTGGCTCCCCGTGAATGTTATAATACGAAACTACAGCTACCATTATGGAATTCTATTCATTCTTTATAAATAAGAATATAAACAGTTGCGTCTTCAAGGTTAAAGGAGGCAAACTACTTCTTACTTAACTAAGCAATACTTTATTAGTATTACGTTTATATTTGTACGCCTTTATATACTACTTAATAATACTTGTATAGAAGGCCTATTACTTTACTAAAAAAAATTATATAGTATATTCTTCGCAATTGCCACGTTTCGGTTTTTTAATTACTTTTATTTCATTTATCGTTGCCTTGCTCCCTAAGAAGACTGTGGTAGAGAACACATTAACTAAGGTTTTTTTTCTTAGACATACCCCATCTGGGTTTCTCTTCTGAAAATAGTATAAATAAGCAGTATATCTCGGATCACTCGTTTACACTGATTTCAAAGGGTGGAAGCGGAGATTCCTGTTGAATTAAACCATGTTCAGTCCGAAACTTGACACATGGTGAACTGTACACTGGAATCAATTGTAAGACCTGTACTGTAGCGACCCGCCCCGGCTCACATGGGTGCAATGTATTATACATATAAACTGAATCAATCTATCTAGTAAAACGAACGGCATCAAGATCCGTTGCGTAGTTTTAAAGATCTAAACATACATTAGGACAGGCAGACCGCGGGACGATTTTGTTTTATACTATGTAGTGATGTAGTGATTACTAAAGATTCTGTGCATGAGAAATCGGAGAGACTGAGAACTCGTTTAGATTCAAACAACGGGCTGCTACTACGTTCAAAATAAAATATTTTCACTCTAACTTTATTTTCAGAACTTATGATCGTCGAAATAAGCAGCGGTTCCTTTGACTTAAGTTTTAAGCTTTAAGAATTGGCAAGAATTTCTATTCTCGAACAATGTTATTTTTAAAATTTTAATTTAAAAATCGACGTAAGAAAATCAAATCGTCATATTGCCATTTGAAATTAATAAATGAAAAATTAAATTATAAGTTGCATGACGACATCACAACGTTTGTTTTCCGTAACGCAACCTTGTGGAGATCGTGCCGTCGCTGACTTTGATGAATACACGATTTGACGATAATGGGCAATTCGAGACGTACTCTCACGTTTCATTATGGCCGATTCGTAGCCATATGCGGAAAAATGGCGGATGGCCGAGTCCTAGCAGTCGCTGGGCGATAATTTCCGGTGTGTTGGCTTCGCGGTAGCAAATGCGGGAAGTCGATGGATGCAGGTGGCTCAGGAGCGTTCTTCGTGGCAGTCTATGGGAGGCCTATGTTCAGCAGTGGACTCAAACAGGCTGAATTGATGATAATGACGATGATTCTTGGATTTAATTCTCTTAGGAGAATTCGTTTCGCGCCTAGCTTCTTACATATTTATCCAAGTAAAAACCATCCATGACATAAAGAAACCACCTATACATCAATATATAATAATAAACTCTTACAATAGTTTTTGTTTGATTGAATAACTAATTATATTGTACTATAACTTATTAACTTCTACAAATCTAATTAAATTTCGTCTTATCATGACATCACCCGAAATGAAAAATACCATATTTAACTGATATAAGAAGATAGGACACAACTTCTAAGAAAAATAACGACAAGTGGCATAAAATAGAAATAAAAAACAAGCATAAAAATAAAAAACAAACATCTCCAATAATAACATTTTAAGGTTGATACAAACCGAAATAAAATAAAAGATATAACTCCATTGCTAGACCTTTTCCCCCAAAATGGGTCATTTAGAATCAAAGGAATCTTATGTCAGAATATCGGCACTTCCGTGAGCATAGTATACGACGGACGCAAATAAACAAAGAACTGTGTTTTTTTGTGTCGGTAAAGAATTTTAAGGTCGCAGTTAACCAGGCGGTAATTTTATTAACATCCAAACATGTAAACATTACATGAGTTTGTATTTTTTTTTTGTTTCGTGGTTAAATGGAAATAAATTCGCCATATTCCGTATTTACTTCTGACTTGTTATAAAAAATGTAGAGGTTATTGCTCAGTTTCCCAAAGGCCAAAGTCGAATGCGCATAACATTATTTTAACAATGATCAGCTGTTAATCTCTCGTTTAACTGCCTTGGGTTTCTTGAACGTTCGTACAAGAAAAGTTAGCTAATCACTGTATAACCAATGCTAATGAATAAAATTATTGATTTGCGTTAAGGAATATTAATTCTCTCTTTCCCAATGGGAATGGGTGCCCCACTTAATATTTTTTTATTTTATTTTTAGTACCAATTTGTTATTATAGCGGCATCAGAAATACATCATCTGCGAAAATTTCAACTGTCTAACTATTACGATTCATAACATACGACCTAGTGACTGACGGACAGACAGACATACAGCGAAGTCCTAGTAATAGGATCCCGTTTCACCCTTTGAGAACAGAACCCTAAAAATAATAAAATCAATATATTAAATATATTGCATCAATCGGTCGTCTATGTGGGCAAATAATTAAAAAAGAAAAGCAAATAAAAAAAATCCCTTATTATTTCAACGGCCATGGGTGTTCACTTTGGCGGCGACATTCTTTCCGTTTAAGAAAACTGGGCAAGTGCGAGTAGGATTCGCACAAGAAGGGTTAGGTTCCGTTCCATTATCTATAAAAACGGCTAAAAAAATATGGTAACACCACTAAAAATATTTTTTTTAGTGTTTGTTGTTATAGCAGCAACAGATATACTTCATCTGTGAAAATTTCAACTGTCTAACTATCACGTTTCTTGAGATACAGCCTGGTGACAGACGGACGGACAGCGGAGTCTTAGTAATAGGGTCCCGTTTTACCCTTTGCGTACGGAACCCTAGTAACGATTTCAGGAGAACATGTGCAGACCTACCCAATCGCCGAAACCGGATAATTATATGCTTTTATCTTGTATTATTAAGAAAATTAAAAATTTTGTACATAATAACAAAGATTGTAGTACCTAAACTTTGTGAATAGGTATGTTTTAAATAAAAGAAAATATGACAAGGTATTATAGGAATTAATTTTATCTGAGATTTAAACGAAGAATATTTAACCAAAGTTGATTGGCCAAATTTACACATTAGCTAATCTACTTTTCAGTACAGACAGTATCTCACTCTGATCAAGGAAAAAATGCTTCGATATACTCGATTTTCGGTTATCATCCGTTAATCAATGTTTAATTGCAAATCAAAATCCACATTGTGTCAGGCTTTGTTGCAACACAAATCATGTAAAAAACATTTAACAGGTAAATCTTAAAATTGATTTCGAAGTAGTTAGTGAGTTTTATGAGTGTGCATCATTAACTAACGAACAATTTAATCACTTTTACCATAAACATTTTTATAGTGCTAAAACCTGCACTTAAGATGCAATATTAATATTAATAGAAAATCCGTTGAGTTTAGTGGTTAAAGCGTTTAGGCGTGAATACTGACGACGTGGGTTAGATTTGCGCAGCGGTGAAAATCTTTTCGTTCTTTTTTCTAAGATTTTAACACTTTTACCAATATAATATAGCTGTAACTGTACAAGAAAAAATTGTATGCTTCCGTGCTTCTATTCATTTCAGTAATTTGGGTAGACCACAAGATAACATACCTTGTTTAAATTAAAACACGAATCGTTATATGGTCACGATTCTTAATAAGTATTTTACTTGCATATTTTTCTTCAATGAAGTCTTCGATGAAGTTATATGCAAATAAAATAATCACTTAATTAAATATATTCCTTATCCTCAATAAATAAGGTCTAATCATTCGTCCTTGTGATCCCTTTCAAAAATAAAAAAAAATATCTATATGCTTAACTTAACTAGTTGTCACCTTACCTGATTTTGTATTCCCTTCTCACCGACGTTCAGTTTTCGAAAAACTTCAACGTCTCTAAGGTCCTTCCCAGACATTACATCTTCATTGTTAGATCTGACTGTCGCTTCTTCAACAAAAAAACTGTAATCGATTACACTCTTTTTGGGCACTTCACTATAATCACTTTCAATGCTAACAGCCCTTTTAATTTTTTTTGTGTCGAAATCACCTAACTCCGAATCATCGTTAATGTAAACGTCTATAGTGTATTCGTAGGTATCCGTGGACAAAACGCCATCTTCAGTTGTTACGTCTTCTTCAAATGCCGTAACTTCGATTTCTGATATCTTCGGAATTCTCCTAATGGTGATATTTGCGTTCATGTAACTGTATACATCCGGCCAAAATCTCACGCTGTACAATAGGGATATTATTAAAAACATAACAACAATTGTTATAAGTAAAACCAGAAGTTTTATTATTAGTTTCGTTAAGGGCTGGTTAATTTTCATTTTTTTTTGTAATACACAGACTCAGATGTTGCTAAATTCAAACAACAGTGATTACTAACTCAATACCAAGGGTAATGCCATGCCACATTTGAATGGAGACATTACAGTTGCCTGATTTGGGCCGAAGTACACTTAGTGATCTATAAGGAAATCAATGTCTTAACAGTTTATGGTTGGTCATTTATTTATTTGTGATTCATATATTTCGATTATTATTTATTCAAACACTTCAAAACAATTCAAAAAGGATGTTACAAAGGGTGGACTTGATACCATTTTGGCATACTCTACCAGCCAGTGGGTACAATAAATGGAAATGCAATATAGTATATAGTATAGTGCGAATAAAAACAATACATATACATGCGCATGACACACCAAATAAGTATTAAGTTCTCAAACGCTATATATTTAAGACATTATATAAAAGTTAAAACAACACACCGTATACCGTAAAAAATATGAATATTTATACATGAAATATATAAACTGCAGATACATACATGTAAGTATATATAATATATATATATATTTAAAATATCTGACTGATAGCGACATCCGCCATACCAATTCTTTCTATCCTTATTTAAATATAGGCGCTCTTGCTATGTCTCCAGGTAAAGAATTACAAAGCACTGTAGCCTGTAGTATAAAATGGTTAGAGAAATTAGCATTATAATACCGTTTCGTTTTATTGGATCTGACATCTAAGGACTTAATTTGACGTTAGGTAGATTGAAGATACCAGTCTGAGAGTCCAAGTTAGTTTGGATTTTAAAACTTTTGCTTAATTACCTAATCACATCGAGTAGTTCAAATCAGTAAATGTCTAAAAGCATCAGCCTATGCATGTCCTACTGCTGGGTAAAGGCCTCCTCTGTACAGAGAGTATAAGGGCATAGTCCACCACGTGGCCCCACTACGGATTGGCGGACTTCATATATCTTCGAAATATTTTTCTTTTTGTTATTATTTTGAAAATATGCAGGTTTCCACACGATGGTTTGCCTCACCGCTGAGCACGGGATAATTCGGCACTTAAAATTAACAATTTCATTGGTGCTGGCACCGGGGATCGAACTCAGTTTGCTCGAGTACATTGTATTAAAGGCGAGCGCCCGGACACTGAGCTATCACGGCTACATATGTCTAATTAACACTTTTTAAATGATCGAGTTAAATACACACAAACTAATCGTACACAATGTGAGGAAAACTTCATTGTGTAATTCAATCAATAATTTAAAATTTATATATTGCGGAAACTAATGAAATTGATAAAATAAAACACTGCACGAAAACACATTTAGTTAGGGTTCCTTCATCTCTATTTTCATTTCGTGAATTGTTACTTTTAAGAATTTAAAAAAGAAGTTGGACAATTTTTTATTTTTGCTTCTCTCGCCCACAATCAAGCAACGTCTAGTTTTTTTAGTAGTATAAAGAAAAGTATTAAGACCAAAATCGGAATATAAATTTATTCTTATTATTAATATTGTTATCACTCTCTTGTGAATCACTCTTGTTAATTTAATCTATTTTAACTTTTGGATTTAGGACCTTAATTACTCGATCAAGTACCGCACTGCATAAAATAAAAAGCAGTTCAATTGCTGCGCGTTTTAATAATGTGTATGCAATTACACATTAATAACAACGATTTTTTTAGGTTCGGTTGCTAAGTATCCAATATATGTGTTCGTCAAACAATCAATTAGCTCATGATAACTTCAATTTAAATGAGGGCAGTATTTTCACAATAACGTTTGAGCCTACATGATAACTTCAATTTAAATGAGGGCAGTATTTTCACAATAATTTTTGAGGCTACATGGGAGTTTGATCTGTGAGTTTGTGATTATAAAATGATATATTAAAGAAGGTAGAAAAGATTTAAGTCCATCGTTATTATACAAACAATTTTATGGATAGTTTTAATGACTTACAAAACAGTTTTGGCTTACATATTTCAAAGAGAATCGCTTCAACGCAGATACAACACTTCGTATTTAACAAATTGGAAATATTCATGAATATTCAGACATCACCTTCGTTTTTATCCGCGGTGACGCGCTAAAGAATAAAATACGTCATTAATCAACGATGTCTATTAATAATTTGATTATTGAATTATTACAATACATGTTAAAAGACGTGACTCCTTTACGATTTTCCTTAGTCATTTCTCTGGTTTCGACCACACTGGTTTCCAAATGCAGCCAGTCCCGCTTTTCTTGAGTTCCCAAAGTCGGTTAATAGACTAATTACCACGTCAAAACACGTGGAATTCAGTCGTACCTTGAATATAATATTTCGGTAGTGAACAGAGTGTTGTACATTGGAGAAATTTTTTGGACGGCAAAAATGAGGAAAATAATCTTAAGCTTTGCACTTTTGCTTGTTGGTGAGTAGTCATGTGAGAAACTTTATTTCTTTATTTATTAAAATATTAGCGGCAGCTGTTTTAAAAAATAAAACATTTTGGTACAATACATATTGCTATGAATCTAAATATAATAATTTTAACAAAAAAAAGCGACTTCAAATAGGAAACTAAAACAACATTGTTAATAGCTATATCATTTGAGGATTGCCCTCATTTCTCTGGGATGCCGTCATCAGATCAGGGTTTCCTTATCATGGTACCATCGTTGAGATAACTCCTCCCCAAAAAAAAAATCATCAAAATCGGTTCATAAAGGACGAAGTTACCCGCGAATACACATAAAAAAAAATATATATACGGTCGAATTGAGACACCTCCTTCTTTTTTGAAGCCAGTTCAAATTATAATATAATAATAAAAAATATATAATTTTAAGGCGAAAGAATTCGTAAATACTTCGTTAGTCTCGTATATCAGTATTAAGGGATTCCCCAATACCCCAAACCTTTATTATTACTTATATTGCAATGATTAGTTCTAAACTAGAGCTAAAATGCCAAGAGATATTGTAATCCCTTTTTGTAAAATGTTTCAATAAAGAATAAATAGATAAATAAATCTCCAAAAAAAAAAACGAAAAAACAAATGGTAAAATCTTAGCAACCTACTACTTCGATATAGCAAACAAAAACAAATTCAAATAATAGAACTATAAAGAAAAATTATAAAGATCCGACACAGAGCGATACGAATTAGGGACCTTCAAGAAGAGAGCCTACTCCTACCTTAAAGGCCGCCAACGCAATTGTGACTCAACTGTGATCACTTATTATCAGGTGAACCGCATGCTCGTTTGCCTACTTTTAACATAAAAAAAAAAACAAAGTACCCCAACGACATGTGGTCTTGTGGTCCCTATCCCTAGAGTCTAAATAAAAAGGAAGAGCCAGAACTTCGCGTCGGAGGTCCTGAGCGAGAGTCAAATTTCGTAATGAAATAATATTTTTTAATATTTCTTATATTCCATTAATTCGTTACTGATTTTGCTTTATCGTAATTTTTTTCTGTTTGCTATATCGAAGTAGTAGCCTGCTAAAATTTTACCACTTCTGTTGCCGCTGTTTCCAGAGGCCGTGGGTTCGATCTCCAAGACTAAAAATGTTGAGTGATAATCTTTACGCCTTTGTAGACTTTAGGTGTTTTCTATGTTATCAAAAATATTTATTAAAGCAATTACTACATATGATGCGATTTCAGGGTCGATTCATTGTGCTGATCTCGAAACTGAAGTCCAAACGACGTCCGCGTCGACCAAGAAGTATTCGACTTTCGTAGACCTCGTTGTCAACGACTTTCTAAATCAGGAATGGAATGAAGAAGAAAAACCCTGCTATGATGAAATTATAGACATTTTACAGAATGTACAAAATTCAACACTTTGGGCAACATGGAGTTAGTATAATTGATCAGATTTTAAGTATTAAACCGTTATTACGTGAGTGCAATTACCTCTTAATCCGAAGACAAATTGGATTAAACGAAATTGTCTGAACTGGTTCGTGATTTAGTAATGAAATCAAAAATGTGATCATCATATCGTACAGTTATAAAAACAGTTTATCAAGAAAATTCCACCAACCCATATAAAACTTTAGACTTTTGTGGAATATATAGAAGGGAATGATACCTTTATTACAAATATTTGCTTCTTTCTTTTTCTGTTTCAATATAATCTATTTTAGTTTATCACCATCGATCATTCATGGTTGTTTGAATTCTAGTTTGGGACAGTATTCAACTTCCGAGTGGTCAGTTTTATGGATCTAAAAATCACCTCGGAAACTTTGACCAGTGCCTGCGAAAAGTTTGGCCGGGCGATAGTCCTGTACAAACGCAGTATTGTCTCGTTGACATTAAACTTGCAGAAGCTGAGACTAGCAAAAGATTAAGCGATGTACACGCTTACGATACCGCTGAAAGCTATTTCCATGTGAGTGTCCATCTTATGCCGCTAGGCAACCTTTTTATTGTTCTTACCAGGAGTTAATTTCCTTTACTTTATCACGCATGCATTATAAATGCTAAAGTACGCCAACTAATTACAATACTAATTTCAATCGCCATTAATTACTTTATTTAAGCATACATTGATGAAATAGGTGAGAAAGCAATCGTTGTCACTCAACTTCACATACATAGATGTGTCTTTTTCACATACAAACATTGCAAAAAAGATTGTTTTCATGTTTTTTTTTTAATGTGAACAGTTGCCAAGCGAGCAGGTGGTTCACCTGATGTTAAGTGAATACCACCGCCCATGGACATCTCCTACACCCAAGTGTATGCAGATGCGTTGACAACCTTTTGAAAATTGGGCTCCGGCCACCTCACTCACCAGACGAAACGCGAAAGTATTATACTTCATGTTCGGTTTTTATTTAAATTGTGAATCTAAGCCATTCTCGGATTAACCTGAAGTCGGTTTAAAATCGGTCCACCAGTTTACAAGGAGTTCAGTGACATACACACGTACAGAAGATATATATATGATAATATGGTGAACAAATACGTTGTTCACAGATGTAAATCTTTTTCTTATGAGAAAAGCTGATATTAAGTTATTACTGCCTCCCAACATCCACAATACCTTTAAACAGATGCCCTGTTTACCTCACTCACCAGATATGTGATGGTCTTTTATACATCGAAATCAATTGGACATAACTATAATATCGCTCATGTTACCAAGGCAACATGTCCTTTGAGGTAGCAATCGGTGGTAGACACTATCTATCAGACGAGTCGCCGCCTTATTTTCACCTCCACTTGAAACAACCATCATTCTCAATCATCATTGGGAACGAAATATTATGGTATGCTACAGAGGCCTATTGAACATTTCACAGATCCAAACCGAGTACAATTTCAAGTTCAACACCTTGTCCTGGGGCGTTTGCGTGCCAGCGGTTTGCCGAACGCCATCTATCGACAGATTCATCCGCACTCTATTCAGGCTCAGTCACATGGGTACCGTCAACCGCCAACCTGAAATTAAAATTCAGGATTGTCAAGTTTCCCGAACACCACCGGGAAATAGAACCGGCTTGTACTTACTTATGTAAGTATGTCATTATAGACTAAAATCTTTAATATACATGTAACAGGGTATCCGAATCAAGTAGTATCCACTTTCCATAAAGCTCATTATTACGTCTTAAACTCATGACGACAAGTGTTATGCATCTTTAGTCTCACGCGGCTGGTTCCCAAAGTCTGACTTCAAGAAATCTAAGGGACATATCCTTGCCACAGTCCTTGGGATACCCCTGTCTAAGCAATTTTACTGCTACCGTTTTTTATCAGCTTTCCTAGTTCTCGAAACAAAATAAAAATAAACAGTTTGTAATCATGACGGTTCTAAACAGATTCATCAGCATCATCATCATAATCAGCCGCAAGACGTCCACTGTTGAACATAGGCCTCCCCCTTAGAACGCCACAACGAACGACATTTTGCCACATGCATCCACCGATTGCCCGCGACTCTTATGATGTCGTTGGTCCACCTAGAGGGAGGCCTTCCAACGCTACGTCTTCCGGTTCGTGGTCGAGAACCTTTACTCCCCATCTGTCATCATTTCTTCGAGCGATGTGGCCTGCCCACTACCACTTCAACTTTCAGATCCGGAGATCTATGTCGGATATAAACAAATTACGAAATTATTAAATCACTGTTGTCATATATTTACTGCGTATTTATTTCTTTTAATTTCAGGTTGTCCGCCCTGCTTTTAGTAGTGATTACAACAATTTGCACATACTTCACTAGGAAGTGCGACACGTCAAAATCCAATCGGATAGGTAAGTTACACTATAAAAAAATGTTTAGCTTTAATCTGTAAATTTGTTGATAAGCCAGCCCATAGCTCTGTTTTCATCTATAGGTTGGGGTGCCCTAGTAGAAGCTCTGCTGGCTGCGAATTTTTTTTTATATTTACCAGGGGGATTAATACTTGCTTCTGTGTTTCACTACCTTATAATGCATTTAAACATTAAATCCAATGGATAGCACCTTATCGATTTACAGTCCATCACTGCGCCTTTTATTTAAATGATTGTGTGTAATTTGAATGTGATATACATGTTTAAATAGACAATTACATATCAAATACATAGCATACATAGCATCTGAAAGTGCTACTAAATAGGAACTAGTTCTGTAGTGTCATCACTGCTATGATTGTGATCCATCACTGGATATATGATATTCTTCACGTAAATACACAATCGATCGGCTAAATCGGAGAATACTTAATATTCTTTAATTTTTCATATAAAAGTAAATTTTTTACTACGTCCTCCGGAAATGTAACACAGTTTAACTGTCCCTTTACAGTCATGAAGATTGTAAGTGCGTTCGACCTTAGAAGCAACGCTGCGGATCTCATGTCTACCGGTAAAGATGACATCAAAGTGATGCACGGAATCAGATTTTTGACGGCGTTCATTGTTGTTGTCCTTCATGTGATGTTCATCAACATCATGGCCACGGCCGGTAACGCCTTGGATATGAACGACGTGAGTGTTACCACATCGTATGCGTGGCTAGCGCAGAAACTTTTGAAAACAATCACAATTAAAATTTGTAGAAAAAAGGAACGAAAAGAATTTCGCCGCTGTGGGAACCGAACCAACGTCTTCGGGATTCACGCCCTGACGCTCTAGCCACCAAGCTAAACGGTGGATTGCTACACCGACGAAATTATCAACGTCCTTTATCTACATTGTCTTTTAGTATTTGAAGCAATGCTTGACGTATACATTATTAAATCCTTTCCAACATACAAACAATTTCCAGTTTTTTTTTATATATTTTACTTTCTTTACTTTCCTTTTTTTCTACAAATTTTAATGTTTAATCTTAAGTGCAAAGATAAGCACTATAAAAATTTAAATAACAATCATAATGATATGAAATGCCAGATGTCCCGGATTACCGCGCAAAAGGTTAGAGGTGACTTAATACTTAATCTATTTAAACAAAACGTTCTTTGTGATTGTTATATTTTTTTTATTACAAATAATTTACAATTTTGCTCCTAAAAGTTGCAAGGACATTAAACTTATCTATTCATACGGTGAAAACATTATACCTACTCTAACAAAAGCTTTACTATGTAAATAAATACTAATATTACCCTGGATATCAATCACGATATTAAGATGAAGTACAAATATAGGTTATTAGAATATAGTCTCATCCATTTTTTTTTTGAAATTCATACTATTTTATTACCTTATATTACCTTATATAATTATTACGAATAGTTACGTAAAATTTAATTACAGTTACTAGAATCACCTCACAGCTTCGTGGAGACATATTAATTCACTTTTGCAGGATTTTAAACGTTACGCTAGCTTCCTTTCTCATACTAGTGTCGTTGTGGATACATACTTCATGATGTCTGGTCTACTTCTGATGAAGAGTTTTAAGCCTGAAACTGGAAGATCCATAAGCCCATTCAAGATGCTGTTGAAGCGCTACTTCAGGTATATGTATTGTATTTTTCTGACTGCACACCATTTAATATGAAAATCGGACTTGACTTATATGGCTTAGAATTATTTTTTTTTAATTTATTTAAACGCATTTTCAAGCGTCCCTAAACATAATCTATAATTATAATTTTTTATCGCTACTTCAGGTATATGTATTGTACTTTTCTGACCGTTGCACACCATTTAATATGAAAATCGGACTTGACTTATATGGCTTAGAATTATTTTTTTTTTAATTTGTTAAAACGCATTTTCAAGCGTCCCTAAACATAATCTATAATTATAATTTTTTATAGTGCTAATCGCTACACTGTTTAGGAGCTGCGAAATCATAAACATAACAATAGATGCACCAGGCATTGCTTAAATATATTAATTAAATACATTTTGGTTAGATTCATTGAGATTTTTGTCGGCTTGAACCCGGAAAACTTGGTGGGTTCGATTCCCGCAGAGGCGAAAAATTTTTCGTAATTTTTTTCTACAAATTAAAAAAAAACATCATTTTAATTGCGCATGAAATTTAAAACAAATGTTAAAACTACGACATAGGTACCAAAGTACAGAAGCAATTGAGTTACATCGGCTCGATTATGTGTAATCGAATATATAACATTTATATTTGATATCTTTTTCTAACTTTCATTACTGGGTTATAGATTGATATGGGTCTTCATCGTCATAATCCTGGTTGCGGTCACAGCTACTCCGTATCTTTACGGCGGTCCCCTGTGGCCAAAGTACGCCAAGGTCGAAAAGGAGGCGTGCGAAAAGACCTGGTGGGTGGGTTTACTGATGCTGGGGAACTACGTGTCCACCAGGGATATTGTAAGTTTCTGGCAATATATTTCTTATAATAATCTTAGTTTTAAGTAAAGTGTTCAAGATTAGGACAAGTGGTTAATTATCACAATTAGGGACACGCAGTAGCTTCTACTGTTGCCAGAATGAGCAGAAGTACCATAGCATCACATGAGACGGTTGGAAAGTGGAAGTATACTATATAAGAACCGCGACCCTCTTTTTAATAGTTGGCAATGCATCGGCCAACCGTCAGGTTCTGTAGATGTCAATGGGCGACGGAAACGACTTAACATCAGGTGAACCGCCTGCTTGCTTGCCAATTTGTCCAATAAAAAAATAATTTAACTCCTACCGAAGTATCTACTTCCAACTTACTTGGTGTAGGCCGTGAGCCTTGGTTGCGGCCGAAGAAACTGTTGCGGTATACTCGGAAATGCTTGGCTACAAATATTTCTGTTAACACTGGAGAAATATTTTTTTTATTTACAGTGCATGCAAATCACTTGGTACGTTCCGGCCGACTATCATTTAGCCGCCCTCAGCACAATACTGTACTGGCTGTACCAGAAAAACCGCCGCGGTGGACAGTACCTATTCGGGCTGGTCACAGTTATCTCGCTGCTGCTTCCAGGAGTCTACACCTTCATCAACAAGCTGGACGCTGTCACCGTCTTCGATTATGAGTAAGTTTTCTTTTTTTTTTTTTAACCGACTTGAATAGGAGGACGTTCTGAATTCGGCTGTATTTTTCTTTTTTTTATGTTTGTCACCTTAGAACTTTTGACAGACTGAACTTATCATGTGGTTCTTCCCATATTAATTTCATTGGTATTGGATCTTGGAGACCGGAGTTACTTGGGGAACTCCTGAAAATCAATTATAAAACGATTTGCGTTTTGTTTTTCGTTAGTAAAAAAAGGGCAATTAGCGATTATTTTTAAAAAAATTACTACTAACTGTACCATTGTACATCTTCCTGTGTTGTATGGACGTTTAACACACATAAATCTTACGCGGATAAATACCCAGATCCGAAACAATTATCTGTGTGTCACACATATTGTCCCGTGTGGAGATCGATACCCACGACCACTGGCGCCGAAGCCAAACCTTGGCAAATGCGCCACAGAATTATCCTTAAATAATCACTGGACTGCTTCAGCGGATAAGGTATATCTGGCTCCAATACTCGAAGATTCCATTATCAGAGAAATATTTTTGGTACGGACAGATTTTTTTCTAGGTTGATGTTTGTATTTTTGTATTTTGAATTTCCATATATCATGTATACTAAAGCATTGATTTTAGAGAATTAATTTAATTTAAGCATAATTCGCATGGCACTTTTCTTTTTCTTTTTTTTTATATATTAATACTTTTGTCTTTGCCTTTTTGGTTAAATCGTTCAATTCAAAAATGATGGAGAATGGTTGATGCGAAACAGTGAAAATAACTTTTTTACACCAGACGTATTTAGAACGTTCTTCGATGGATCACTGTTGTTAACGAATTTGTCAATTGTGTAAATTGTTCGTAGCTCCAGAACTTAACATCTTTGTTCACGGCAATTTTACAGCCTGTGAAATACTAGTATGTAATTGTCACAGGCACGGCAGTAAAATTTATTATTACATTCTCGTAAATAAATCTATTCAAATATAATTAGAAAATTAATTGTAAATCTTTCCCATCTTCCAGGACAATAGCGGACAATCGCAAATACATTACAGATGCGCCGATGTACGTGTACAGTCATATTCGAGCAAGTCCATACTTCGTGGGATTAATAGCCGGATATATCCTATCTGTGTATAAGCCAACTAACTATAGGAACGTTATATCAACGGTAAATAACATTTATCCCACAGCTGGGCAAAGGTATCCTCTGTATACAAGGTATTAGGGCATAATCCACCACACGACTGTGGACCACCACGCGATTTGCCAGACATTTCATAACTCCGAAACACTTACAGAAATAAATTCGAATTAATATACAGGTTTTCTCACAATGTTTTCCTTTACCAATGAGCAGGTTTATAATTTCGGGATTCGAACTTAGAGAGATAACCAGGTTGTGTGAATATATAGATTTAAAAATGAGCGCCCGGACACTGAGCTATCATGGCTCTGATGTTTTTTCTGTGAAATTTACTTCTTTCCAATAAGTTCGATATATTTATGTGTACATTTGTGAAAAGCAAGATTCTGTTTCGGGGTAAATGAATTTAGTGCGATATTGGGTCAATGTGATCATATTATGCATATCATACTATGCATATATTAAGCTACCCGGGTTCCACTTAGCTTACTATGATCACGACTGGCCGCTAGGTGGAACCGCTCACGGACTGTTACTCCTTACAGAAATACTCAATTCTTTGCTTCACCACGGTAATGGCCCTGTCGGGAGGGATACTTGTCATGGGCCCAGCGTATCGCTTCCGGGAATACAACGCGCTGGAGTCTGCTTTCTTCGCGGCCCTAAACAGACCCATTTGGGCAGCGCTAATGGCTGCGTTCATATTGCTGTGCGAGTATGGAACTTTACGTGAGTATATCCTGAAAATCTTCGTATGGGTAAAGTGAACTTTTCGCGCACTTCCTCAAAGTGAAAAAACGTAATCTTTATGAGAGAAGGTGGCTTGCGAGCATGCGGCTTATCGGTGTTAAGTGACGACCGCAGCCCATTAACACGAAATAGTCAAAGGCCAGCAAGTGTTATCAACAAATCCCCATCGCCCCAATAACGCCCCAACCACTACATTAAATTTGATTAGCTGAAATCCTAGCAAAAGAACACCCATTACTCCAAAGGATGATCCGCAAAGCTATTGAAATAAAGAAACATCCTAATTTTAATATAGAAGATGTTCGGGGTTAATCATCTTGGAATCCCATAAGTTATAAAATTAAATCCAAGCACACCTGCCCTTTTTATGGTATCCTTGCCCACTAAAACCCCCTCGGTGACCACCTTCTGTACGTTTGGAGCGATCCCGGGATCTCCTATGGAACGCACCCGTGTCCCTCGGTACTGGGCGTGAGCACGCCTCGGAGAAGGGTAAACTTCCCCAAGGTCCTCGCCATCTTGCAGCAGCTCGAAGCCACTTCGAGCTGCTGCCAATCCGTATCCCCTTTTAGTCGCCTTTTACGACAGGCAGGGGATACCTTAGGCCTATTCTATGAGCCCGGAACTACAAGGCTGAAGCACACCTACCCTGCTAGACCTCAAGATACCATAAGCCCCTTTTGCGTAGTCAAAGTAAAAGTCAAGTAATCTTTATTCAATATCGGCTTAACTTAAGCTCTTATTGAAACGTCAAAAAAAATCTACCACCGTTTCACTAACCTAGACTCTCTGAACAGAGAAGAACCGGCAAGAAACTCTGCGGTCTTGTTCTTTTCGTTATTTTTTTTTTGTGTTGCAATTACACAAACTTATTTAGGTATAAAATCAGCAGCAGCCAGGGATTTTGCAAGTGCAGAGCAAGTGTCATTTCCACACATCCTTGTCCTAAAAGTATTCTTGGACATTATAGTAGGCCCTTTAAGGTAGCTTATACAAATTGTTTAAAATTGTTTATACTTAGTTGTTTGTGGATGTCACCTATTTTATTATAAAAGTTGATGGATCTACCATGATACGACATTCTGGTTTTAGCCAGTCTAAGCCTCGGTACTTCCAGATTATCACCACGGCCCCGACGCGATGTGGAATGTTTTTTCATAAATAGGTGGATATTATTACGTACATACATGATGTTCTCAAGTATGTGTAAAGTGACGGGAGCGTTAAAACGTTTATTTGCTTAAGTAAATGCCGTAGTGACTCACGTGGACCCAAGCCATAGACAGCCCGTATAGCTTGCTTTTGCAATACAAATATTGTATCTAAACCGGATGCGGAACCCCAAAGTAAGTCACCATAAGACATTAAGCTGTGAAAATAAGCATACTAAACTAATTTAGCTGTTTCCTCGTTATTTAGTTGCCTGATCTTGCGTATGGCAAAGGCGGTAGCGCGCAATTTCTTAGCTAACTTATCTACATCAAATCCCCATTGCAACTTGGAGTCAACGCTTATTCCAAGAAATGCTGTTAAATCCTCAAGGGGTAGGATTTTCTCATCAATAGAGATTCTTGATTGGTGACACAACTTTGAAGGAGTAAATCTAATATATTTTGTTTTAGTGGAGTTCAAAAGTAAGTTATTGGTAGCAAACCAGCCTGACACAACATCTAGTATTTCATTTGGTTGTTCTAGTGCATCATCTTTCCTTTTAACTCTAAACTATAGTGAAGTGTCATCTGCGTAGATCGGAATAAAAATAAACTAAATAATTGACGGTAGCCAGAGTCATCTAGACGTGTGACAACTTAGTTTGTCCCGATACCATGATCTCTGGAAAGAGTTCGAAACGTCGGGAAGTTCAAATTAAAATAAAAACGCGATAAAATCGTTAACTAGTTTCATTTAATATATTCGCGTATAATCAAGAAGTCAATAGTGTCCATAAATTCCATTAATTTATTAAATTGAAACTTTTTTAACATTTGACAATATTTATTTGATAATTTTAACTATGACATTTGGCTTCAAGCCTTAAAAGTTGATACAAAATGTAATAGACAAAATATATGTTTTTGTGTAAAAAGTTTTCAACTCGTAAATGTTAAGTGACTACCCATGGATCAAGACCTGGTGGCAGGTCAACACACCTCTTGGCAACAGCCAACCTATTTAAAAGTAAGCCCCGTTTAGCTCACTGACCGGACGAAATACATTCTCTTAGATATATTGAGAGCGTATAGATTCATAAATAGACGTTACTGATATTGACATATTCGCTGGTTCTTCGGCCTCTGAAAGAAATTCTGAATTTAACGCTCTTTTAAAATTCTTATATCACTATCGGTTACTGAAATATTTTTTGCGATTTTACCCATTATAAACTTGGACTGATAAGTTGCTAACATTTACCCATTCTTCTCCTTGTATTACAGCTCTGGTCACCGACTTTCTGGGGTGGTCGGTATTCGCACCTCTCAGTAAACTCTCCTTCGGCATTTATATGTGCCATTATTTCTTCGTCATGAGGCTCACGCTAGACTTAAGGACCCCAGCGTGGCACGACTTGTTCAGACTGGTGAGTTTATATGTCTTATTGAGTAAATTTTAGACTAAAGGTCTTTTTTGTTATATTTACAATTATATATGAGTATATTCTAGAAAAAAGTAAAAAAATGGGAAGACAATATACGTGCCACTGCTGAACAAAGGCCATCTCTGTACAGATGGTATTAGGGAACCACCACGCAAACTCGCCGCCGATTGGTATACATCATAATATTTCTTCGAATTATTTTCTTCATCATCATGATCATCATCAGCCGCAAGACGTCCACTGTTGAACATAGCCTTCCCCCTTAGAATATTTAAATTGAATAAAGAAATTTGGCCCTATACTGTGACTAGCACTTAATGTTATAAAGCTAGAAGTGTTAATTTTCCGTTCATTTTCCAGGTGCAAGATTCCTTAGGCATTTTAGTGGTTTCCAGTGTTCTCAGTCTATATCTTACTTTATTCCTCGAGTCACCCTTAAATAACTTAGTGGCACTGGTTCTGAAAACTAAGTAAGTCGTATATATGTTACTTATACTAATAATCTTCTTGAAAACCAAACTCAAACGTTAACATTAATATCCCTTATAATTAATCTAAAGAGGTTTATAATGTTTTTATAAAAATTTGAAGTAGCGTTGAAGGGTAAATTTACCATTTATGTATTTTGATATATAAAACTACTCTTTATACATTAATAGTCATTAAAACGCCACTGGTGGCAATAATACGAATTTTTGTTTACTCTTCTAGTCCCTAACTAAATCTTTGCTTTGCAGATCAAAGGCTGCTAAAGATAATACCGCAAAAATCGATGCAGCCACACTTAAACACGATTCTTTAAAGGATAATGCTATCAATAATGCGGCCACGATAGAAGAGATTAGATTTACGGCAATGAAGAATGAGTTCAGGAAAGAAAATACCGTTGGAAATATGAATGGGATAGATAACAAGGGATATACAGCAGAAGCAAACGAAGAAGTACCGAAGAGTAGAGAAACTCAACATTGCGGTATGCAAGAAACTGAATGGAGACAAGATTTTTAAAATTATTTTAAACTACAAAGTATTTGATGATTGATATTTGCTTGTTGGAAACAAGGCAGTTTAAAGAGTTTCGGCCAGTTTCAGCAATTTACTAAAAAAATTATTAAAATATTTTACCGCTATTAGTTAGCAAACAGAAACACTTCTTTAATTATATAATTGTTACTATGTTCGTTATAGAATCGTCTTTTGAAAATGTTTGTTACTTCAGTTTCTTTTTAAAGTTACAAACTAAATGAAATCTTTAAACATATCTTTATTAAAGCCTATGATTAAAAACTATATATCATGAAGAAACATCAATGCAATATATTTTTTTCTTGGCACTGTTATTTGAAATATACATAATTAAAATCTCGTACCGAAATATCGAATTGAAATGCAAAGAAGATAACAGCTTTCTGGAACATACATGCTTTTTATTCTCGGTACTTGATGTAATTTAAATATTTAATGTTCCATCACATTAATTAACACAAATATCAGATGGCCAAGTTTTCCTTAACACTGAGCAAAATATTCCAGACTGTTTATTTATTCTAAATCCTCAACGCTTTGAACTCCACTAATATCCATGGTCACTGGAAAAACGTCATACGTTCAAATGAAGCAAATAAGTCGCGATTAAGATTTTTTTTTCATGTGAGAATGTGGCAAGTGAGCTGGGAGTTCACCTAATATTAAGTGATAACCGCCGCCCATGGATATTTGCAACACCCGTAGGGTCGCAGATGCCTTGCCACTTTTTAATAAAGTGGGCTCCGGTTACCTCACTCACCAGATGAAAGGCAGAAGTACACTCGGCGTCAAAAAATCGCACATCCGAAAAAAATAATTTAAATACTATTTTAACACAACAGGCCAATAAAGGCAGGTAATGTTGTGGTTTGAGGGTATCATTCGAAAGGTAATTTTATTAGCTTTCAGGAATTTTAATTGAATTTTATAATGAGACGAAAGAGAAATTAAAGAAAAAGACAGGGTATGTACAAATTTGCAAATTAATAATTTAAAAAAAAAACTTAATAAATACAAAAAAAGTTCTTAAAACCTAGTGTTAATGACCCTTGCCCACGGCCACCTCGAGGCGATCTATGCGATGCTGTGCAGTAAGTTTTGGACCTTTAGCAGGTCTATGGGCTGTTAAACTCTTTTCGTGTAACCTTCTTCTTATCGTAGAAACACTCACAGATGTTCTCCGAGTTGATCGAAGCTGTTGTTACAACTCAACAGCATTTTTAAAACGGTTTCGTAAAGATGTCGTAACGATGAAACGGTCATCCCTTTCTGATGTGCACCGTTTTCTTCCAGATCCCGGTTTTCTAACATAACCACCAGTCTGCTGAAAACGTTGGAACACCCGTCGAACTGAAAAACGGGATCGTAACGCATCCCCGACTGCAATAGGGCAATCACTGCAATCACAGAGCTGGTGTCCATCTTTACTTGTTCTTACTTGGGTTACTTGTTCACGTGTATTCACTGCAAAGTCTAAATTACGACTGACCCATATTTGACTCGCCGGCGAGTGCGGTGTGTGTTGGGTGGTGTTTCTTGAGTTTTTTGATCCTTTCGATGGCGATAGTCGTCTCATCGTCAGGGAAGTCGAGAACGTGACGCGGTCTTCGGTAATCGCGGCGGAAAATATTCAGCGGCAAGGGCCTGTAGGTGACGGCACCTACGATAAGTGGGTTGGGATGCGCGGCATCGACATGAAGGTTGATATTGCGCATGAACCAGGGTGATCCCGTGGTTCTGGGCAAGAATCGATTTTGAATCACCTGAAGCCGGTGTATTTGCTTCGGAGCAATGTGAGCGAAGACGGGGCTCGCGTACGTCATGATAGGGCGAACTACTGCCTTATATAAGGTCACCTTGTTCCGAAGGGACATTTTTGACGTTTTATTGAGGAGCGGGTAGAGGCGACCGAGTACGAAGGCCGCCCGGTTCCTGACCTGGGTCACGTGCTGGGTGAATTTAAGCTGGGAGTCGAGGACGACGCCTAGATATTTGACTTTATTAACCCATGGTACTGGGCTGTCCAAGAGTTTAACTGGGGGTGGTATGGGTATGTTCTTTTTGTGCGCGAAAAGGACGGCCGCGCTTTTGGCGGGATTGATCTCGATCCTCCATTGCCGAAACCAGTCACCGATGGTGATGGCCGCAGCTTGGAGGCGTCGGCCCATATTTCATCCAGATCGACCCTTTTATACCCTTTTTAGGTGGTGTAACTAGCGTCCTTACTAACGAGCATTTGACAGTGTTTATTTTTGACGCTCTATAATGATAAATGTTTTAATGATTTCATGATTTTTTTATTAATAATGTAAAGTTATTCAAATACCCATTTCAAACATACCAATATTTACATAAATATAATTCGTTTCTAGCCATTACAGCCATTTTTCGCGCAAACTCAGAGAGGTGTGATTTTTGTGACGCTGAGTGTATAACACTTCTACTTCAGCTGGTATTCTGTGAGGTCATGGTACTTCCCTGGACCCTTCCGAAGCGCTTACAAGATCTTTCAGGCGTTGTGGCATTGTACCGTCGATCCTGCCAGCAGAACCACTTCATAAGCGGTAGAAACTTAGACTGATCGAAGGGTGCTTTTGGCGAAGGTTTTCTACAGCCTTGAACGATGATGTCAATGATCTCATCTGAAAATATAATGCGCGAATCATTGTTTAAATCTCTATCCATGACTTTAGACTAGACAATTCTTTTGAAAGCGAATTAACGGAGAGGTTTATTTATGGATGAGTTATCGTCAACTGAATATTTTTAATGTACATTATTGTTTTTCAATTGAGAAGTAATTGATTTTTATACTGATTTATCTAAGTGGAAATGAGAATATGCAGATGTCAACTAGATTCTAGGACTAGCCGGTTGAAGTGATGATGATGATGATAAAATAGATTCAGTATTTGAGAAACAATTTTGAATACACTTCGATAATGACTTAACAATTTGCATCCTTGGACCTCTTGGAATCCTGTTAAGTATTGTTACATTTCTATGGTAATAATGGATCTGTTCCGATAATAATTATAAGATTTAATTATTATAATTGCTAAAAGCCTTATCAAAAATATTGTAGACTGTGAAGCTAAAAAAGAGCGATTACGCCTCTTATACCCTTAAAAAGCTTACCTAAAGGCACAATTTCGACGCGGTAGGAAATGCTGTTTAGAGCTACATGTTCTCAAATCTCAAGAAAATAAGTTAATATTAAAAATCAACCTAGAATAATTAAAATAAGCCCCTAAAAGTCACTAAATGGTACGACGTACAGGAAGCCTCGAGACCCTTACAGACGTATTCAAGAACAATACTATGATGTTTTAACTTTAACTGTTTTTAATTTAACTGTGGTAGGGCCACGCAGCAGCCTCGGCTGTTGCACGAATGGGCAGGCCCGTCCGGGTAAGTACCACGCCCTCACAGAAGACCGGCGTAAAGTGGAAGTATAACAAATACTTTCGCATTTCGTCTGGTGAGTGAGGTAGCCGGAGCCCAATATTCAAAAGGTTGTCAACGTATCTGTAATCCTCGGGTGTAGCAGATGTCCATGGGCGGCGGCATTCACTTAACATCAGGTGAACCGCTTGCTCGCTTGGCAAATTTTCGCATAAAAAAATGTCTCACAGTGCGCACGAATGCATAGGGCTAACAACTTTTAACTTCTTCATTAGGGACGACCCTTACGAAAAGTAGGTAGAGGACTATACAACGCATAGTGTAGCTTTGACAAATGTCAGGTTATTTTCATCTATTTTTCTAAACGGACCAACCACATCTGTAATCGACGCAGTGCGCACGCATAGTAATTAAGTGTCGCTTGAGTATTTTTTGTGAATGACATGGCCTACCATTACGAACGCAGTGAGAAATGCCTTACTTAGCACAGGGTGCTTTTAACCTTACCTAAGTATTGTTCTTTTATTAACGCCCGTACGTTAACTGATTATCGAGGCGAATGACAAGATCATATCTGAGGCTACAAAAAAAAAGTTAAAATATCTCATTTTAATAATTCTTTGCCCATAATTCTCCACTCGACTATATAAGACAGTCGTGTGTTGGTGCGATTCAATAGGTTTTTTTTATAAACACAGTGTTAAATATTATTTACATTGTGAATTACAAAATGGGGACAATAATCCTACCCAGCTTATTACTTTTACTTATTGGTAAGTAAATTCATGTGTGATTATAATGAATAAAATTTTGAATTAAATCAATTTCCACCTCTACAGTTACTTCAAATATCATCGTTGTAATGAAACTTACTTAGAGGATGGACTAATTAATATTAATTTTAAGGCGGCAGAATAGTAGAACCTAGAAATTATATTGTAAAGAATGCCAATACAGAAACAAAAAAGTAATACTATCAGACACCAACTGCTACTGAACTAGAGCTAAAATTAAAAGATCTAATTAAACTTTAAAAACCGATCAAATGAAAGTGAAATTTGTACGCCGAGGGTTCCGTATATAATCACCACTGATTTTCACAGGACCAGGGTGGTTCTAGCAAGCTGAAATTTACACCAGATACTTAGATCTAGGTGTTGTTTATTAATATACCCTATTAGGTGTATAAAAATCAAGATCCTGAGTCAACACGATAAAAAGATAATTATGGGCAAATTATTATTACTTAGATTTTTACGAAAACTTAAAAAAAAAATTTTCGGAACTTTTTTATTTGTATTGTAAGACCTTGAATTTTGTCAAATTTGTTGATTCTAGGTCAACGGGAATTACCACATAGGCTTTCGACTCAAAACCTATTGGGTACTTCCGGTTGACCTAGAATTATCAATTTTGGTTAAACGCGAAGTCTGACAGCACAAGTAAATGGAAAATTTAGAAAAATAAAAAGGTAAAAAAAAGGGTAAAATTTGCCCATATCTTTTTATCGTGTTGACTCAGGGCCTTAATTTTATGATAGACCTCAGTATGTGGTATAAATTTAAACTTGCTAGGTCCACCCGTTCTTGAGAAAATCGGTGGTGACCCACGGACAGACAGACGGACTGATGATCTTATGAGGGGGAAAAATTTTGTGATGAGCATAGTTTTTTTCTAGTTTCCGAACGTTTTTTATTTTCTGTAATATGTACAATTCTGTATGTGTAACTAACAAAAAAAAGTCTGTTCATATACTGATGTTATACTTGAAGACGTATTCTTGCAGGCTTTATTTATTAAGTTTGAAACTTACTACAGAAAATTGCTAAGTACATATGATACGTTTCCAGGACCAGTTATTTGTTTCGATGATGAAACTGAACTCCAAACTACGTCTGGGTTGCGTAAGACGTACACCACTTTCGTTGACCTATTAGTTAACGAGTTTCTAAAACAGGAATGGGATGAAGGGGAGAAACCGTGCTTCGCTGAAGTTATAAATATCTTAAAGAATGTACAGAATTCAACACTCTGGGCCACGTGGAGTGAGTATACTTGACCAATGAAAACCAATAAATTATTCACTACTTAACTACTGTAAAATGAAATGTATTTATGCCAATAACAATTGTGGTTATTTACAAGTATATATGATCGTCATTGTATATTTATTTTGGGATCATTTTTTATTGTTGTAAAGACAATGGGTTCGACAAAGACGAGGTTTTTTTCTTTATTTTGTGAATTCTTTAAAAAAAATTCGTTAACAAAATATGCAATAAAAACAAATTAGATAAGACGTGGAAACTTTTGCGTAATGAAAATATCGACCGCTTAACTTAGTGGCTATAGCATCTGGTTCTGGAAGGCACAGGTTCGAAACCTGGCTTAAAATTTTGCTCCAGTTTTATTTGAAACTTCGACTTTCGTACGTTTTCGACGTGTTCGACTTTCATAGACGTTAAAGACTTTCAAAACCAAGAATTTAACGAAGACGAGAAAATCTGGTGTGAGTAAGTAAAAAAATTCAACTTGACATTCTAACTTCTAAACTTATGACTTTTATGTCTTAGCTGAAGAGGTAAACATCTTCTATAGATATTCCAGCATAAAGATGTTACTTCATTTAGTTATTTTATCCCTAAATGCTTTAAGGGTTACGTGAAGAAAATAAATGGGTGAATTCACTTCATTTCAGTATATACAGAAGGACAAAGACGTCTAGCTGGCACAGCTACCAAGCCATTATATTTTGGTGCCGGATGCCATGGGATCGGTTTCCCCCAAGGGAAAAATATTTGCGTAACCCACAGATAATTCTTCCGGATCTGGGTGTCTAATTCCGAGAAGGGTTGAATTCAGACAGTCGACCGGTTGTAAAAGAAACCTAGCTAGACTCCCCTGTTGCCCCGACCCCAAGTAGGTGGGATAAGGAAAAAGAACAATAACTTGACCCCGAAAAAATTAATGGAATAATCTGTTCATTCGTCAGTTCCATTGAGTCTTAATCTAAAGACAAATCGAACTTAACAAACTTGTCAAAATCGATTTGTGATTTAGCAAGATAGATGTGATGATCATCTCATAGTTATAAACACAGTTTATGAAGGGAGTTCTAGCAACCCTTGTAAAAACTTTAGATTTTTAAGCTATTGCATACTTAGCGGGTTTTGAGCGCGGCGACCGAATCAAGAAATTCCGTAACGAAAATAAAACCTAACACCCCACACACTTATAACATGATATTATAATATGATTATCATATGATGATACGATATTTAGAGGATATCAAGTCTCAAACTTATGTTTCTTATTTCAGTTACCATAAACCTATAGTTTCAATCCTCATGTATTGTAAGATAATAAAAACATTTTAAACGATATTAACTTCTCATTTATTCAATATAAGAAAAAAAAATGATTTCTTATCCATCACCGTGCTCAAAAAGTGTAAGTAAAGTAAAGTAAAGTAACAGCCTATACATGTCCCACTGCTGGGCAAAGGCCTCCTCTATACAGAGGGTGGCGGATTGGCGGACTTCGCATATCTTCGAAAAATATTTTTTTTTGTTATTATTTCGAAAATATGCAGGTTTCCTCACGATGTTTTCCTTCACCGCGGAGCACGTGATAAGTCAGCACTTAAAGTTAAAAACTTCATTGGTGCCGGCACCGGGGATCGAACTCAGGTTGCTCGAGTATATTAAATTAAAGGCGAGCGCCCGGACACAGAGCTATCACGGCTCTTGCTAAAATAAATGCTCATAAATAAAAAATAAATAAATAATTATAATTGCATAAGTTGATAAAAATGCCATGCAATAGCTTTACCGCGTCAGTCCCCGAGTGCCACAGTTGTTCTTTTTTAATTATTTTCTTTGTACTACAAATATTTCCTTCGTTTGTTTTTTTTTTTTAATTTTTTAATTTTAACTATAATCTATTTAAGTTTATCCTTCTGAATGATTCATGATTGTTTGATTTCTAGTTTGGGACAGTATCCAACTTCCAAGCGGTCAATTTTATGGATCTAAAAATCACCTTGGTAACTTTGACCAGTGCCTGCGAAAAGTTTGGCCGGAAAATAATCCGGTGCAAACGCAGTATTGTCTCGTAGACTTTAAACTTGCAGATATTGAGACTAGCAAAACATTAGGCGATGTACACGCTTATGACACTGCAGAAAGCTATTTCCACGTAAGTCTTCATCTTATGGCCGCTATACAGGCTTTTTTTTGTTTTATATCAAGAGTTCATTTCCTTTACTTTATCAAGCAAGCATCATAATGTGCATTGTAAAATTCAATTGCCATTCATCAATTTTTATTAAAGCTAAGCCCCCTTGACGAAATAGACGAGAAATCATCTGTCACTCAACTTAACATACAGACATATGAACAATAATGTAAAAAAAAATTATTAATGAAAGTTGAAGGAATCAATGAAGTGAAAGCTATTAATGCCTTTCTATAAGGAGAATCCGTATCTGGGCACTCACTACTTGAGCAACCTGTATCAAAATACCGGTGCTGACACCAACGAACTTGTTAGTTGCAATTTTAACTGCTGCCTCACCACGTGCTTAACGGTGAAGGAAAGCGTGATAGACGACGAAAGGAGGAAAGATATGTGAAGTCTGCCAATTCACGGTGGGCTCGCGGAGTGAACTTTGCCCTATGTATACAAAGGAGCCTTTTTCCTGACAGTGAGACATAAATATAGGCTGATACTTTCTTTTCCCTTTTTTATCGTTTCTTTAAAAAAAATATTGTCCTCAGGTGAGAAGCTCTCATGCCAATGGGTTGTTCAACTGATATTAAATAAATTATTAACTGAACTGCCGCCCATGGTCAGCCACAATACCAATGGTTACCTTATTCTATTTAACATTTGACAGATCCAAACCGAGTACAAATTGACGTTTAACACCTTGTCATGGGGCGTTTGCGTGCCAGCGGTTTGCCGAACGCAGTCTATCGACAGATTTGTCCGAACTCTATTCAGGCTCAGCCACATGGGTACCGTCAACCACCACCCTAATATTAAAATTCAGGATTGTCGAGTTTCCCGAACGCCACCGGCAAATATCACCGGTTTATACTTGCTTGTGTAAGTATTCCATTACGCGTAACATTGACAATAATGAATTCCTTATTTCCGACCGTGACTAATAGCGAAGCCAATAAAAATATTAACTGTTTTATTTCTACTCCAAAGGAAGAGTTTTGTATTTATCAGTTTTCGATCACTGTTAGGAGGCGGTGTCATAAACAAAGATTAATTAAAAATAAACAAAGTAAGATCAGTAACAGTGAAAGAAATAAATAAGAACTACACGATTGACATCGTGGATAATGGACCTATCTTTACCGCCAGGTGCTTTGGGTTCAATCCCGACTATTGGAAAAATATTGTATGATGAAAATAGCGTTTTCTTAGTATCTGGGTGTTTATATATCTATAATATGTGTTTATATACAAAAAGGTATGTTTATCAGTTACCTAATATCCATATAACAAGTTTTGCCTCCTATGGGATTATGTAACGATGTTATGTTCGGAACACAATATGCATTGTTATTCACACGTCTGACGCCTAAACTTCAATGTAAAAAATCACATTCAGACGTCAAACGCCGTCAATAGTAATCATTACGTTTATACGTATGGTCTGACCGGCGATCATGAATACTGCGAGAGATTCAAAACATGTGGATTAAAATTAAATTCTTATTACTTCTATTTAGCTCTTGCAATATTTGAGTGTTTCTTTTTTCTTTAATTTCAGGCTTTCTGCACTAATTTTAATTGTTATTGCAACAACTTGTACTTACGTTACTAAAAAGTATGATACATCTAAATCTGAGCGGATTGGTAAGTTTCATTTTTTTTCTGAATTTAAGTAGATTCGATTGTATTCAACACAGCGAAAATACAAGTGTAATTGAGTGCAAAAGTTACTAGGTATTCGCTAGCTTCCTATAGTCTAAAAGTGTAAACTCAACAGCGGGTATATCGTGCCGGCCCATCGTCCACAACTCTATAAAGTGCAAGTTCGGCCGTGCCAGGAATATTGTTCTCGCCTAGGGTACATTAATACCGCCAACTTCCTTTTGATCATCTCGAAAATAGGGGTGCATACATCTCGAAAATAGGCTCCGGAAACCTGCACGAGTGGCCTGCCGACGCCGTGATGTAATTTTTCTTGATACTAGATTATCAACCGATCACTCAGCGCGAATGCGATGACCTCGCCGTATCGCACCTTAGGATAGGAGGTTTCAGGGTGAGGATGTGGCGGGGAAAGTGGTGGATGATGAGGCACGGCGTGGCCGCGCGGCCGACACGCGAATCCACCTTCCTGTCGCGTGAAACAGCCGTACCACAACTCCATTGTCCTTACTATTTGAATCACGCTGCAAGCTGTGCGATTGCCGAATGTAATACTGTTTTTCCGTTACCGTTTCGTCCTAATAAAACCGAGGTCGTAATGTCCGTCAAGACTTCTTCTTCTTCTTCTAAGGCAGTTGGCGGTCCTTATGATATCGCCAATGACACAATCCGTCAAGTCTAGAAGCGCCGAGTGAAGTTTGACAGATGCCGAATGAGTGACGTGTCCGGTGTTGGCGTCATAAAAACTCAAAAAATCACAGATTGGTTTCGGGAATTCCCTTGAACAGCCTTGGCGAGGTGCCAGAATGCAGGAGTCCCGAAGGGAGATTAACTAATATCTCATAAATTTTGAATTGTGTGTTTTAAATTTCCCTCGACCTTGCTGATGTGACGACCCTTTTGAAGGACGCACAAAAAAAATTGTAATCCTTTTAAAAGTATTTACATTCCTAGAAGCCAGCATAACGATCCAGGCTGGATAATTTTCCATCTTACGGCTAGATGCCATCGAACCAGAGCTAGGCTCTAATAGGGAACGTAGGGAATGGCATAACGCGACGGTAACATCCTAAGATCGGACTACCCCGTATGATAGGTAGTATGTGAAACGAACAAACCGACCATTGTTTTGAAAGCATGTTCTTGATAAATATACTCTATACAAAACAATCGAGAAATATCGTTTGAGATTAAACATAAACAAAAAAGCTACAATTATCATGTACCGCAATATAACAGTGTCGTTTATTTTCATTTAAAATATCCCTTTAAAGTAATGAAGATTGTGCGTGCCTTCGATCTCAAAAGCAACTCCACGGATCTTATGTCAACCAAGAAAGACGATATCAAGGTTATGCACGGAATCAGATTTCTGTCGACATTTTTTGTGGTCATACTTCACGTTATTTTCATCAACATCTTGACTTCTGTCGGTAACACCTTGGATATGCACGATGTAAGTATTATGATGTTGTCGCTAGAATGTAAGTATGCATTTTTTGGGTTCCGTACCCAAAGGGTAAAACGGGATCCTATTACTAAGATTCAGCTGTCTGTCTGTCTATCCGTCTGTCACCAGACTGTATCTTATGAACCGTAATAGTCAGACAGTTGAAATTTTCACAGATGATGTATTTATGTCGTCGCTATAACCCAATAATAAAAAACAGAAAAAAATATTTAAGTGGGGCTTCCATACAAAAGACATGTTTTTTCCATTTTTATAGATGTACGGAATGCTTCGCCAGTCTGACTCGAGCTTTTTTCATTCCCTTTTTCAGTTTTTTTTTCTTTTCTATTTTTCAGGACGTAAAACGCTACATAAGCTTCATGTCTCACAGCAACGTCGTTGTGGACACATACTTCATGATGTCTGGCCTACTTCTGATGAAGAGTTTTAAGCCTGAAACTGGACGGAATATAAGTCCGTCCAAGGTGCTGTTGAAACGTTATTTCAGGTATTTATATACAGTTTTCTCTCTATTTTACACGAGAGTCGTGATGGCTCAGTCGGTCGCTTGCATTTAATTAATTATGCTCGAGCGTCCTGAGTTCGATTCCCGAATTTAAGTTCAAAATGTCGTTATTCAAATAGACGCTTTTTTAGTGCCGGCACTAATTAAATTGTTAATTTTAAGTGCTGATGCATCGGTTAAGAAAACATCGTGAGGAAACCTGCGATTTACTGGTATAATAGCAAAAAAGAATATTTCGCCAAGCCGCAGTGGGGCCGCGTGTATGACTACGCCCTAATACCCTCTGTACGATATCTGAGGAGGCCTTTGCCCAGCCGTGCGTCATATTATATAGGCTGTTACTTTACGCGATATAAATAAAATATTTTTACCTTGACACAATTAATGGTTTGAATTTATTTCTACTAAAGAAAACATTTTTAGTGTATAAATAGTTTGCTTAAGCTGCCACTTATACAGGATAACTTTAATTGTATATTGATCGGTATTGATCAAAAGTTTTTGGGAAAATTGTTATAAGCTAAGAGGTGGGAAGAGGGGAATAGAAGAAATTAATTCATCGACTCAGCAATTATACTCCTCTCTTTCTACCGTTTATATCCGATCAGTTAACCTCTTTTGCTACCTTTACCCGTATTATTTCGTTATAGATTGATATGGGCGTTCATCGTCATAATCCTGATTGTGGTGATAACTCTACCGTTTATTTATGGAGGTCCTCTATGGTCAAAATACGCCAAGTTTGAACAGAAGGCGTGTGAAAAGACGTGGTGGGTGGGCTTACTAATGCTGGGGAACTACGTGTCCACTAGGAACATTGTAAGTAGCAGGCCAAGATAAGTAGACTTCTCCAATATGATTTCCTTTACAAAATCTATAAATACTTCTGCTTTATGCCGGTTTCCTTTTTCAACCGACTCAAACACGGAGCAGGTTCTCATTTCGACTGTATTTTTTTTCGTATGTTTGTTACCTCAGAACTTTCGACTGACTGAAGCGATTTTAATGATTCTTTTTTTTTATTTGAAAGCTGGTCTCATATTAATTTCATCGGTATTGGATCTTTGGCTCCGGAGATACGTAGGGAACTCCTGAAAATGAATTGCAAAATGAATACAGAACAAGATATTTGAAGTCCTTTTTGTTTAATAAAAAAAATTGACTTGTTAAAAGAAGAAACTACTATGATAGTAACGGAAATGTTTTACTACAAACATCAGTTTCTTAAAAATCTCTGAACGCTGTATGAAGATTTTTTTTCCACTTACAGTGCTTCAATATCACTTGGTACGTACCGGCCGACTATCATTTGACCGCGCTCAGTACAACACTGTACTGGCTGTACCAGAAAAACCGTCGCGGTGGGCAGTACCTATTCGGTCTTGTTATAGTTATTTCGTTGCTGCTGCCAGGAATCTATAACTTCATCAACAGGCTGGACGCCGTCACCGTCATCGATTTTGAGTAAGTTTTGTTTTGAGTAAACCTTTATGTGATCACTACAGTACTGAGGTATGTTTTTAGTTGTGATTTTAGTTCCCGAATTTTCGAAACCTCGCCCTTTTCAGCGCTCGTGGTCACGGGACAGATTGCGACGTTTGACGTCTGAATGTTAGCCCGGGGTACCAATGTTTTTTAAATGATTAATTTTATATCAACCTCGGCAGACCATGCTAATTTTCTCTTATCTTGCAGGAATGGTTCGTTTGGGGTAAGATTTAATTTTATTAATGATAGGATCCCAAGCTGATGGTAGCACCCAATCCTCTTCTCTATTGAAACGTGTTTTTTTTTAATTTCAATAGCCTCCCGTATCATCCCTGGGAGGAATCGGTGTTGTTATCAGGTTTGAAAGATCACAGATCCTTGTAATAGAACACCGTCGTAATGGCCATTTAATGTGTGGTCATACACTTGACTTCTTTCAAACACGTTATGAAAAAATGATACGAGAGAAATTTTGAGATGCGTGCCCATCACTGTAACAAAAAAGTAACACCTTTGAAGCTGCCCGCTAAACCGCTTATTTTTTTATAGATAGCAGCATATTCTCAATAATATTCGCCCGTTACAGTTTTCAATAAAGAATGTAGATAGATTGCGCTTTCATAATTTTATATCATTTATGTCCTTTTCCATTCTTTTTATTATTTAATTGTAATTAATTATTTGCATTCTTTTAAAAACTATTTATTAATGATGCCAAAGAAGTATAATTTTTCATGCGCGTACATAAGTACACGCAACCATTTTTTTTGTTTGTTTGAGACAACAAACGCAGGTAATTGAATTCGCACGGTCTGTTACAATGTGTCACAACAAACTGGATGGACTATCATGAAAGTGCTACCTATCAAAAGGTTTGAAATTTCGCAATAATGCCGCGAAAAGTTCCGTTCGAAAAACTAATAAATAATCTGTAGTGTCGAAGACTGTTTATATAAAACCACATTGGCAACGAAGATTTAGAGGGCATAATAAGAGGATATTTCGCCTTTGTTACGTCGAAGTTTTTATATTTATAAGTCTAAGGTTCTGTATACTCAAATATATAAATAAAGTATGTTTAAGTATGTTTGTTACTTACTAAGTATCCATAGTACAAGGATTGCTTAGTTTGGGACTAGATAACGTTGTGTTGTTAATAATTCCATCCAAAAATAAATAGAATTGCAACATTGAACAGGATTGTTTTTGTATTAATCCAGGACAATAGCGGAGAGTCGCAAATACATTACGGGCTCCGCTATGTATGTGCACAGCCATCTTCGAGCAAGTCCGTACTTCGTGGGACTAATAGCCGGATACATCATATCCGTGTACAAGCCAACTAACTACAGGAACGTTATTTCAACGGTAAATAAGCGTTAATACCTGCTCCCTCCAGCACGCATCCAGAGCGGGCTCGAGTGCAGGTTCCTCTTAGCTTCGCCGTGGGTGACCAAGCCACGGCTACTAAGCCCCTCGGAGGGGACGTATTTATGTTTGTACCGCTAGCTTAACTGGCTTTCTTTTCAACGGAGGCGTTTTTTTTTTTCAAGCTTAATTTTTTTTTTGTTTTTTTTTAACATTGCCCTTACTTTAGGATAACATTATCCTGTGTTGTATGGACATTTTACAAATATAAATTTCACGCGGACAAATGCGATGCGAAAGAACTATCTGTGGATGGTCAAATAGTTGTCCCGTCTGGGAATGGAACCCACGACCCCCGACGCCGAAGCCAATACCTTGGCAACTGCGGCACGGAGTCATCATTTAATTTATGCTTTTCTCCACGACAAGGGTTGACTGGTAGAATTGACGGGTTGACTGCCATTAAGCATTAAGTCCACCCCAATGGGTGGACTTAAGGGCTACAATTAGCTCTTAGCTTAAGGCGTAGCAATAAAGTTAAAAAATAAAATTATATAAAGAAACATATCATAGTAAATACCGCCGTCTGTCTGTCCCTATGTATGCTTAGATCTTTAAAACTACGCAACGGATTTTGATGCGGTTGTCTTTATTAAATAAAGTGATTTAAGAGGAAGGTTTATATGTATAATACACTGCACCCGTGCTAAGCCGGAGCGGGTCGCTAGTAGTAAATGAGCACTTAAAATAAAAAAAAGTACCGGGATGAGATATCTTTGCTCTGTATCAGTCAGACCCTGAGCTGCGACGATTTTAAATTTATTTCTGTTCGAAAATAAACATTAACTGAGAGACTACTAAATAACGTGACAATGGGCTTCCACTGATTTTGTTTTTAAAATTAAATGAGCTTTAAATCATTTGACTCGGCCAATAAACGCTCACGAATTGTTCTCCAACAGAAATACTCAATACTTGGCTTCGTTACGATCATGGCTCTGGCGGGCCTCGTAATTGTCGTGGGTTCCGTCTATCGTTTCCTAGAATACGACGCTCTGGAGTCTGCGTTCTTCGCCGCCGTCAATAGACCACTGTGGGCCTCGCTCATGGCCGCTTTCATACTGTTGTGCGAGTACGGGACCTTACGTGAGTAAACCAGGACGATCGTGTGGCCCTTGCGTGTAACTGTCAACTTAACCGAAATGAAATCATACCTCTCTATCTGATTTTCTTCCAGGTATACTTAGATAAGTTATTGGTAAGAAAACACTTGAGAAAGTGTTTTTTACTGTTAATTTTTCATATTCTTCTCTGCTCCCTATCATTGGATACCCGCCATTTCTCTGCCATCATGGGCCCTCTGCCATATTGGATTTATAATGATTTATATCCAAACTAAATGTGTTTTCAAAATTTCGTGTCAGTCTGTTAAAGATAACTCTGCTTTAAAATTCAGTTCAGATTTGGCCCGAACATACAAACATACAAACTTTGCAAATTAAAAAACAGCTTGTAATAAAAACGAAGGTATTGTATTTGTAAACGCAATCTTAGTAGATTATTTTAAGAGTTCAGTTGGTTAGCGAACAGGTGAAATTATTAATGATGTCACCTGTTCGCTTACTCACCGAGATTAATGATTGAGTCTCATCAGTCGTAATTAAACTAAGCATCGTGAGTCCACGAACTACAACAGGCTTCGATCATATTTCGTGTAGTAAAATAGAATTTACTATTACCGATATTTAAAAGCGAGCAATGATTCCAAAGAGAGCGAAGCTTAATAAAAGAATCTCGAAGGCGCTGTTTAACAGATTTGTAAATGTCAAAATTGTCAAGTGAAACGAATATGTTATAATACATTTATAATATTTTTAAAGACATTTATTACGTCGCCTTATAAAATTGATACAAAACTCAAAAATTATTAAAATAAAAACACAAAGAAAAATGGTTACATAAAATAATTGTAAAAAAGAGAGACAAAAAAATGTTACAAACAGTAATTATAGTAATATTAACAACTTAAAACATACGATGTGTGTTGTAATAAGATGGCGGAAGGGATATAACTTGAATATAAATTGAAACTGGATTGTGTCATTAAACTATAATACTTATTGACAAAACAGTTTTAACGACAATCAGTAGATAACAAGACAACGTCTTTTGCCAAAATATGCAAAATAGCATTACATTTCTGTGATTTTCACAAAAATGCATTTTACAGTTTCATAGTGTAAGCTCTACCACGTTTTCGAATTATTATTTTTTTATATTTTGAAATAATAACGTACTTTTAATCCAATTACAAAACATGACTAATATTGACTCATGATTACTTTAATAACTTACTTGTGTTTAGTGGACTAAAAGTCGCTGCAATGATGACGATTCTAATATTACAGCTCTGGTCACTGACTTTCTGGGGTGGTCGGCATTCGCACCTCTCAGTAAGCTCTCCTACGGCATTTATATGTGCCATTACTTCTTTGTCATGAGGCTCACGCTAGACTTACGCACCCCAGCGTGGCACGACATGATGAAACTGGTTAGTTCCTAGATCTTATATTATCAATTTTAATTTTAAATTTATTTCTTACATTTGAATGTTGAAATATATTTACTAATAATATATTTCAACTCGAATCACCTATATTACTACATTCATATATTACTATATTCATAGTTGAAATATATTAACTAATATATTTCAACTATGAATATATAAACTAATTTATTTGATGACTCCGTGGCGCAGTTGCCAAGGTATTGGCTTCGGCGTCGGGGGTCGTGGGTTCGATTCCCACACGGGACAACTATTTGTGTGACCCACAGATAGTTGTTTCGCATATCGGTGTTTGTCCGCGTGAAATTTGTAAAAGAAGTTTGTAAAACGTCCTTACAACACAGGATAATGTTATTCTAAAGTAAGGGAAACGTTTAAAAAAAAATAAAAAAAAATAATAGACTTGAAAGACTGTGTGTAAATATTATTTTACTCATAATTATAAATCTCTCTATCTCTTACCTTAAATCTATTTTTGAAATCTGTATAAAATTCATTTTATTGTTTGTGGTCAGCATCTGGTCACCATGTAGGAGAAAGGAAGTGATGGTTCGTCTAATGTTAAGTGGTAACCGCCACCCATTCCTGAAACACCCGTGGGATTAAAGTACGTGGCTTTCTTTTAAAAAAGCAGGCTTCTGTTACATCTCTCACCAGCAGAAACGCAGGAATATAACACTTCCGAACCAGGTCGCTCTATGTGAGGCCGTGATACTTGTTCGAACGAGACGCTCCATTCGTGCAACAGCAAGAATGGAGCACAATTAAGAATTTAGCACCTTTACTATGACTTATATATTTAAATGATCCTGACACTTCTTGTGTTACTCCCTCCTTACTGACCATGGAACAGTAGTGGTATCACACTAAAGAATACACTTCCAACTTTCTCCTTTTATTTTTCAGATACAAGATGCCTTTGGAATTTTGACGTTATCGTGTGTTGCCAGTCTGTACATTACTTTATTCCTTGAGTCGCCCTTAAATAACTTAGTGGAACTGGTTCTGAAAACTAAGTAAGTCATGTTTTATTCGTATTATAACTAACTGTTTGAAAATTACGCTTTTACGAATCGAAAGGAGACCAGATCGGACGTCATTTCATGTTTTAATACGTACAAATGATCATAAAGTAAAAATAAACATTGAGAAGTAAACTTATCATTAATGTGGATGAATGAGTAAATGATGCATTTTTTTATGTGAAAAGTTGCCAAACGAGCAGACGGTTCACCTGATGGTAAGTGAATACCGCCGCCCATGGACATCTGCTACACTCGAGTGTTACAGATGCGTTGACAACCTTTTGAAAATCGGGCTCCACCCACCTCACTCACTAGACGAAACGCGAAAGTATTTGCCATACTTCCACTTTACGCTGGTCTTCTGTGAGGTCGTGGTATTTACCCGTACGGGCCTGCCCATTAGTGCAACCGCCGAGGCCGCTGCGTGGCCCTACCACCGTAAAACGGATCGAATGGAAGTTAGGAAAAAGAGGAGCTGTCTGAGAGGGATGGAAAAAGGGTAATGGCGATATGCAGTAGGAACGACGCGTGTGCTCTATAAGTGAACAATTGTTAATCCACGTAATAAAGGAGATTCCAAAGTGAAAAAACAATTTTTTCTCCCCCACATTTATGTGTTCTTAAATGCTAAAGCTCTTTTGTTTATTTTTGAATAGTCATTTAAAATCCGACTCGTAGCGAGAACAAATACATTTATATACGAGTACATGTAACGTGTCTACTATTCAAATCTCGATACGATACAGATGCAGATACAGTACGATAAAGACATCAAGGAATGTAGAGTGGAAGCAAACGAAGAAGAACTGAAGAACGGAGAAACAACAATGCCGTATGCAGGAAAGTGAATGGAAGCAAGATTTTAATGATTAAAAACATATAATATGAACAACAAAGTAATCGACGAATGAAGATTGTTTGTATAGGAAAGCAGTTTGAATCTCGCCTAGTTTCCAATAGTAAATATAATAAAAATATTTTACCAAAATTGTTATGTTAACTAACTGAATACCCTTTAATTAAAGGATTGTTACCATATTTATAAAATTTATTTTAGTTCATTGAATGTTTATTTGCTTACATTCTGTTATGAGTTACGAACCACACATTACCTTCAAAAATATTTATGTGACTATACGAAAAAAGACGGAATATCATAAAACAACACAGGTCAAGTGCGAGTCGAACTCATACACCGAGGGTTCCGTACCATTTATTTTTTACATTCCATCTATGAAAAAGGCAAAAAAATCATGTCTATTGGATCCCCACTTAAATATTTTTCATTCGGTTTTTTAGTATTTATTGTTATAGCGGCAACAGAAATACATCCTTTGTGAAAATTTCAACTAACTATCACGCTTCATTAGATACAGTCTGGTGACAGACGGAATGACAGAAAGACAGCGTACATTGTCTTAGTAATAGGGTCCCGTTTTACCCTTTGGGTACGGAACCCTAAAAAAACATGAACACTAGATAAAGTTCGCCCGAGCTATTTTTAGTCTCGTTTCTAAAGTGTTCGCCACATGTGTCCCTGGCACGTAATAAAACACGCTTCATAGCACGGAAATGATGTATACGCGGCTGGCGTGGAGCGCGCACGTTAAAAATTACCCGCCTTTTGTGTTCGGTGAATCCCCGGAGCGCGAGGATTTGCGTAGGAATCGCTGGCAGAAGATTTTTTGATTTATGGTAGTGGTGGCATAATGAAGAACGCGACTTCTATACTCGCGGTTTGGAATTGCGATAAATCAATGGATGTTCTGCTCAATTCATAATTCCCATTTAACAACTCGGTCATGCTCGCCGGAGGGACTTTATCTTTCGGCAGCCTGTGCTCGAAGTGTGTCCGAGCTTAATGAGATTGGACGAAATTGAAAAGCTCATGCGGACGAGTAAAATAACGGGAGTCCCGCGTCACGCAAATCGAAAGTGAAGCATAGTAAGTAAGCCGCGCTCCTTGTACATACACGCGTAGGATACACATTTACATCATAGTGAGCCGAACTAATCCAACCAACCCACCGAACATTACGCGAAGGTTTGTTTACGTCAACATTTTGAATAAAAATAAAATATATTTTTATTCAAAAAGTTGTCAAGCATGCAGGCGGTTCAGCTGATTTCAAATGCATACCGTCACTCATAGACATGTACAACACCCTTTCAGATGCGTTAACGATCTTTATAAAACTGGGCCCCAACTACCTCACTCAACAGGCGAAATACGAAAGTTTAATAGAAAAATATATTACTGCATCCCAGTTAACTGTTTACTTTTGTACTGTACCTACTGTTGAACATCTCAAATGCTGAGTAATTTTGTTTATAATAGTTTTTAAAAATCCATAATTGAGAAAAATATTTTTCAAACAAACTAATTAAGTAAAAAAGAAACAAAATTTGTAGCATCCTATACAACTACAACTAACTGATTCATACATTCAGAGACTTTTTCATTCGTTGCCTCAGCGTCGCATTACAAGCCTCTCCTTCTAACAGTATGTTTTGTCTCTTTTAAATTCATTCAACCCATTCATATGCTTTGTGATCTTTACAAATTAACTTTACCTTACAGTTTTATATGCTGTTCTAAAATTGTTTGTTTTGGAACATTTAATAACTCGGTAAATATTGATATTTAAAGAATGTAAATGTTTAATACAATTTTAAAAAGTTATCCTCTATATGTGTGTTCATTTATTGTCGTGGTTGTAACGACACGATGTATATATATATATATATATATATATATATATATATATACCGAAAAACAAATATGAATTAAATTACTTCTGAAGCAAAGAATTCATTAGAGTAAATTGCGTGAATTGTAATAGTGAATCAAAAATATTTATTTATTAATTAATAGTAATTTTTTGGGATTTGACATTATTTCTTTACGTTTAGCATGCTTTCAACATTGGGCCTAAAATGAACAAATCTCCTTTACTTTTAAAATTCAATCACGACAAAATTCTTAATAAAAACTTCTTTCACAATGCTATTGTGAATAAAATATAAATAGTATTATTTTCTTGTTCTTTAAATTTAAAGATCGTTTTTATATTAAACGAATATCTTATAGAAAGACTAATCTAATAACTTGTAATTTAATTATTTCAATTCTTACTATCCAAATTCAACCTTCTCAACAATGGTATAAGGCCTGGATTCCTTTATTTTAATATGTATTCATCAATCTCTAGGCAGTAGCAGAGTGGATCAAGCTTCGGATTAATTTCGCCTATTAAAGGAGAGTAAAATTAATATTATGTCCCCGGAAAATACTTAAGCTGGGAGCGATATGATGGAAAATTTAGATTAAGGTCTCAGTGTTGGCATTAGCTAAATTGTTTTAAATATAATTCGAAGAGTGTTAGGTTTATATGAACTAACGCATTCTGCACAACTACAGAGAGAACTGTACAAGTATTTGTTTGACCCAAGTAGTCGTTTCGGATCAAGTTGTGTGTTCTAAGGAGAGTTGACGTCAGTCAGGTGGTAGGTCGTAAAAACCTAACCAAAACCACGTACAAGATAATGCATCTGATGTACCGACCCCACCTACATGGGATAACGGCAGGATCCATTGAACCTGAGCTATTCACAATTAGCTTTCAGCACTTGTTAGTACCAGCTTCTTCAGAACATTCACAACACCGGAAAAGCTGTAAAGCTGTTGCTGCCCTTTGAGATAGGAAAAGGCTCTCTTCTTCAAAGTCCGTTACTTGTATTAGTCTTTTTTTATGGAGAAAAAGGGGCAAACGAGCAGGAGGCTCGCCTGATGATAAGTGATTACCGCCGCCCATGAACACCTGCAACACCCAAGGGTGTACAAACGCGTTGCCTGCCTTTAAAGAAAGAGTATGCTCTCTTCTTGAAAGTTACTAGATCGTAACGGTTCGGAAAGACCGCTGGCGGCAGCTGGTTCCATTTTTTTACGTGAAAAGTTACCAAGCGAGCAGGCGGTTCACCTGATGTCTGTCAAGTGAATACCGCCGCCCATGGACATCTGTTACACCCGAGAATTGCAGGTGCATTGACAACCATTAGAATATTGGGCTCCGGCTACCTCACTCACCAGACGAAACGCGAAAGTATTATACTTTGTACTTGACGCCGGTCTTCTGTGAGGTCATGGCACTTATCCGGACGAGCCTGCCGAGGCTGGTGCGTGGCCCTACCACCGTTACCATACAGTGGTAGTGCGAGGAAATCTACAGTTAGTCTGGAAATACCGATCTTAAGTGTTCAACACCGGCTATGGATATCCGTACTCCGTAATACCGAATATCTAACTGCACCTCTCTGAGTACTATGGACATACCCATAAGACTCAGAGAGTTGCAGTTCCGTGACCTTTTACAGAGCCCCGGTTACCTCACTATCATATGAAGTGCACTTTCTTGGAGGAAATGGTGGATTGGCCGTAAGCCAAATATTATAACATTGCTGTTGTAATGATTGGCTCTAAAAAAGTAAAAGTTTTAAAAGAAACAAACGTAAAAATATAGAACTTAAGTAGCTCTGGTTACTATGTTACTCGATTCGATATATCCAATCATATGTTATCTATAAATATCAGTAGCCGTATCATATAATACATCTCCATCCCTTTTTAATATAAGCTATGGACAAAAAAAAATATTTATCTTGTAATAATAAAATAGTTCTTTTTCTATTCTAAAAGCTTAACACAATGATCCATAAACAGTGGTATCACGAAGTCTGTCGTATAAATTACTTCCTATCTCTTTAGCCTACCATCCGATATACATCACATGACTTAATGAAATCGCAAATTAAATCTCTTTCCAAGAACACACAATCATTAAGAAAATGTGATTCTATGCACGAAGGTTTCTCAAGGCGCTTCCTTAGGTCCATTAGTTTATACCTTAGTTTTTTTAATGATCTCGTCAGTATCTCTAGCTACGATCATGCGTTTTGATATACTAGCCACTCACAGCTCTCTTTTTTTTATATTTAATGTAATATTTAAGGTTTATGCAATAACTTTATGAAATAATTTAGCATTCCCCGACTCCAAAATTAGCTCCACCATTCAATGACGCCGTTCGGCGGCATTTTGAGACGGAATTAAACTAAACATTTTGCAATTTTATTTTTTTTACAATATTATGGACACAAATACCGTAGTAAATTATTAACATATAATTCAACGACTCATTTTTAACTATTCCTTTAATAGACCGAACTGTCAATTGTACCGGAATATCAGACAGCAAAATATTATCAGGGCGACAAATTACATAGGCGTCAGGATGGTGCCCCGTATCGTGAAAAGTTCATTTGGATGTTAATACGAAGGACAAATAACTACGCATACGCAGTGTAACTTTAGTAACGTGCATGCGTGCAATAGAGATTACGGCTGGAAAGTTCTTATAAAATATTTTTCACGGCAACACTTCTCGTGCGTACCCAATAACAAAAGCACTCCATTTTTAGGGTTCCGTACCCAAAGGGTAAAACTAGAAGCCTATGACTAAGACTTCGCTGTCTGTCTCTCTGTCCGTCGGTCACCAGGCTGTATCTCAAGAACCGTGATATTTATACAGTTGAAATTTTCACAGATGATGTATTTCTGTTGCCACTATAACAGCAAATACTAAAAATCTGAAAAAAAAACTTTATAAGTAGGACTCCCATACAACAGACATGATTTTTTCCCGTTTTCATAGATACGTACGGAACTCTTCGTGCGCGAGTTCGGCTCGTACTTGGCCGGTTTTAAACTGCTTTCACAAAATTCTCTTTGAAAGTGTTATACGCGTCCGTATTTATTCTAAGCTACTTACTAATTAAACAACAGTTGTTAAATAAACCCAGACACAGAAAACGTTATCAAACTTATCAAAATGAAATATACTTCTAAAATATAACAGTGATAAAATTGAAAGTCGATACTGATTTAGTTATTATTACTGTTACAGCGAAGCGAAACTGCCCGCTCCTATAAGTGAAATCGCCATTATTGTCACACATGGTTTGGCAACATATTATACGTTGCTCTTTTCTTAATTTTTCGCTTGAAAGAATTTTGGGTAATATCCATAACTTAGGCGAAGATACCGAAGGTCGTTACAAAAAAGGACAGGACAAAGCAAAATCAAAGGATTTTTTATATTTTTCCAAAGTCAAACAAGATATAACATTGAAAATATTAACGCAGAAAAAAGTAACACGTGAGTTTATAATAATATTTTATGTATATACATTCTCTACTACTTGAAAGTGTCCTTAAAAGCAGAAATATATATATAAAATTAATGAGAATCGAGAGTAAAATTTCAAGTTTAAGCATGTTTCGTTACATAAGAGAAAAAAGATATATATACATATATTTTCTTCTTTAAGAAAGATAAATCCTTCTTCTCTCAGGTACAATAAGAATTTTTTTGTTCATTGACGTAGGTTACACAACCTTGAGGGACGCAGGAGTATAAACATAGTAAACTTATTTAAATAGACAGCGTAGGTATTCACCAATAATAAATATTTTTTTTCTATGTTTTATCTTTTATTTGTTCCGTAAATATAAATTATATCCATAAACCTTACCACCTCTTAATTGACATTACATTAATCTGTCTTTATTATCACATTTTGGTTCAATATCAGCTGTTGATTTTATACAAACGTATATATATATATAACTTAAGGGATACATATAAATACTGAAATAATACATACATGTTTTTATGTAAATATATCTTAATTTATAGTTTTTTGTGTTTGTGATCTGATTGCATTGTATCTGAGTTGGTCCTATTCGTGCTAATTTCATCGCCTCCATTTTGAACGGCCTTCTGTTTACTATTGTCACTGTTGAAAACATAAAAAAATATTTACACAGAAATTAAAAACTATAAAATAATTTATCATTCAAATCGATTTTTTGACTATGGTGTAAAGGATACAAACAGAGTCTGATTTTTAAAGTTTGTGTACAAATATATATTGACTTTGACTTTGATACATCTTTCTTCTTTTTCATCTCTCGATTTTTTTTTGAATAAAATAAAAAAAAATCTGTAACTTCATTAGTATAATTTAAAAGAACTTACCATCTAGCCAACATCAATTTCACCAGATTATTCAGTGGTGATTCAACGAAGAGCATAAAGAATAAGCTTGCGAAGGCAGCCAGCACGAGATTACCCAGAAACTTTTCCGCCTGCAACGAATTAATGTATACATGTAAATTAGGACAAGTTGAAGTTGGAAAAAAACGTATTGTTGTACAAATCTACGGTGGTAGAGCCACGCAGCCTCGGCTTTTTCACGAATGGGCAGGCTCGTCCGGGTAAGAACCACGACCTCACAGAAGACCGGACTGAAGTGGAAGTGTAATACTTTCGCGTTACGTCTGGTGAGTGAGGTGGCTGGAGCCCAATTTTCAAAAGGTTGTCAACGCATCTGGAACCCCCGGTTGCAGCAGACATCCATTGGTGGCGGAATTCACTTAACATCGGGTGAACCGTCTGCTCGCTTGGCTTGAACTTTTCACATAAAAATAATATCGCTAACCAATATTCCAGCATTGAAGTACAGCGGGCTCCTTGTACACGCCGTGTTAACCATGATGATAGTACAGTGAATCATGTAAATTCCATATGTGAGCTTGCTCAGTGGAGCGAATGCTCTCCAGGAGAGGAAGTCATTGACGAGAGCTAAAAATGGTAATAGGTTTAAGAATCTCTTGAACAAGGGCCCTGATAGCTCCTCGTTCGGGCGCTCGCTTTTAATTCAATATACTCGAGCCACCTGAGTTCGATTTTCACTTATCACGTGCTCAGCGGAGAAGGAAAACATCGTGAGGAAACATCATTTTTAGGAAATGATAAAAAAAATATTTCGAAGATGAAGGGTCGACTATGCCCTAATATCCTCTGTATAAAGGAGGTCTTTGCCAACCAGTGAGACATAATTTACTAGGTCTTGGACTCCATGAAACAGATTAATTCGAATCATTTACTTTAACTTATTTAAGGAGGCAAATCTGATGAATAAATAAATAAATAATATACACACGTTATCTAATACCAAACTAAGTAAAGCTTGTAATAAGGAACTAATAAACATAATAACACATACTTGTATTTTGAAAGTACATACATACATATTTTCGATATAATTATAATAAAAATAGATTATACACCCAGATAGTAGAAAAAAACTATGTCAATCACACAATATTATTCCAGTAACGAGATCGAACACATTCCTGGTGCAAGAGGAATGTTCACTACCCAATACACCATCATATCATGCTACTTACGAAATCTTCCATATTCGCAAAGACCGACCACAGCGCTCAGAAATAACGCCCAGATTGGTCTGTGCAAAGCCAACAAGAGAGCACTCTTCAGCGATTCGCTTCCGTTTTCGTAGGCAACCAGAAGTATGACTATCATCCCCGTTGACATCAGGAAACCTTTAATGATACGTTTCTGCAAAGTGTAACATTGATAGACAAACAAGTAGCCAGCAGTTCTTCTCGTTAGTTTATAGTAGATCTACGATGCTATGTCTTAAAAGGAGAAGAGAAGGAAACCTTTGAAGATTTAAGGGTTACCTTTGTGAAGAAACTTCTTAGATCCTTTTCATTGTAATTGGCCATTATGTAACCCATGATGACGCCAATCAAATACGGACTGGCTCTGTGATGAGTCTTCCCGTACAGAGACATCTTCGGCGTCCTAATGATAGGATCCCTCATGGTCCAGTACATACTAGAATAAATGCATTAGTTTAATATGATTGAAAGAATATTTAAAATTTTTGACATTTTGAACTCGTACCCTTATCACCATTAGTAAAAGTCTCCGGTAGAAAAAACCAACCCTATTCATTTATTTTATATCATATCGGGCGCGGTCGAGGTACTTACCCGGACGGACCTGCAAGACTGTTGCGTGGCCCTTCCACAATTATATTCACGGCATGAGGCGTACAAAAGACAATTATTTGACAGTAGGATACTTTAATTGATTAACTATCTATTACTTACTCGAAATCAAATGTTACAATGCCAAGTTCTGGCACAGTGTAAACAAACCAACCAGGTATCAAGATGCTGAGTGTAGTGAGAATCGCAAAACAGATGATACCAACTCGCTTTTGCTTCTGATAAATCCAAAACAGCACGGCAGAGACGACGGCTAGTTGGAAGTCGCAGAAAATATACCAAGCGACCGGTGCGCACTGTAGAAGGCAAACTGAATTTTAGAAAAATTTACTCGAAGGCCAACAGATAATCTACTTTTTTACTGTCGCTTAATTATATGATTGGTGGTGTAATAAATCTCTCGACACCACTGAATGAAAATAAGATATTTTATATCTCTGTTGAATAGAAATACCTACAATAATTGTGTTTTTTATCATGAAACAATTGGACCGCCTGTACACTAAAATATTCCGACGCCATCTATTAAGCAACGGAATTAGCGCTCTTTCTAAATAAGAAATAAATAGTGAATTGTAGTAGAAATAGGGAAATAGTCGCCCTTAAATAACAGTTAGTGTGTGTAAGATGTATGCATTTACACGTGTTTCTTTTGTACCGTTGCAGGTGCATTGGCACCTTTTAATAAAGCGGGCCCCGGCTACCTCACTCATCAGATGAAACGCAGAAGTATAACACTTCCATTTCACGCCAGTCTTCTGTGAGCTCGTGGTACTTACATGGACGGACCTGCCCATTCATGCAACAGCCGAGGCTGTTGCGTGGCCTACAACAGTTAACCATCGAAAATCTTCATGTCGTTCTGAATCACAAAGTAGAATATTTATAACAAAACAAAGGGTCACATTAAAATTAAAGAAATACCGAAACTTAGAGGGGTTCGACACAGATTATGATGACATTGTACTCAGGGTTCCACCTACCACACGATGCACGTTGTGGTAATTTCCCACCATCAGCATGCCTGACCACCAAGTTTTATAGCAGCTTTCGAGCTCGGGCTTAGCAAACTTTGGGCACACCGGCCCACAGCCGGAACTCGGTAGAACGAAGAATATGATCAGTATGTTCGCTATGTACCACCAGATAAGGCTGGAAACAATACAATAAGTGATATTATAAATGATTAATTATTTAACAAGTGAAAATTGCATCAAAATCCGATAAGTTTTGAAATTATAAGCGAAAACAAGCGGACAGACAGACAAAAATTTCAAATATTGTTTTTATGTGTCCCATGACTTTTTTGTGATATCCTTTTTTATTTTTCATAAATGTTTTCAATGTACAGATGTCATAGTTAATTATTGAAAACACAAAAATGCTATGACCGTCAATGGTTATCCATCATCATAATATGTAAATCAAAAAAATAAGAGAGTCTCTTTATGAAGCTGAAGAATCACTGGGCTATCATCATTTATGTCATTTACTATCTAAAAAATATTTTTTATAGAAAAAAGGAAAAAATTGAAAGCATCGTTGTCTCAAACCGGAAATATCTCTTTATTAAAGTTTCCACAAGGCTCCGGATCGTGGTGTTATTCTTAATGTTTCTCATAAACAACAGCCCCGACATAAAGAAGAACGTATCCACGGCTATCACAAAGTTCAGTATCTTTATCCCATAACTATTGAGGTGCTGAAAATGAAATGTTTTTATAAGTACCGAGAAAAAGAAATGCTTCGTACTAAATACGGTGAAGAATGACTAACGTTGTATCGGGCATTTTTTTATATAGTACTGTAGTACAGTATGATATTTTTGATTGCTACTTTAAGGGCAATCACAATCAATATTTCCAAAATAATAATTTAAAATTCAAAATCGGTTATATGCCCAGCAGTGGGACATATATAAGCTGTTACTTTACACGGCTAAGTTATTGAACGTCCATAGACGGTGATCTCTGTACCATCAGGCCAAACGCTTACTCAGGTTCATTGCCTTCAAGAAAATAAACAAGATTTAAAATAACCACCTCTTCAAAGTCCAAGCCGTTACCCACGGTAACGAAGAGCATAGCGAATACCACATGGATCAGGACTATAACGGCGGAGGATATGAAACGCATGCCGTGCAAAACATTGACATCATTTTCGTTTCTCTGCATCAATTCCTTGGCGTTCCTCTTCAGGCATAAGCATCGTAGGACGGAGTCCGCTGGAAATTGGAATGGAGTGATAAAACCAAGCTGTGCAATATATAAAAATCTTGTGTCGCAGTTTTAGTGTTTTATACTCGTCCCAAACGGCTTGATCGATTATTATGAAATTTTATATGTATATTAAGTAGGTTTAGTAGGTTTATAACTAATTGTTACCCCTAATTGATAAGGGTGGTCCACCCCATACATTTTTTTTCTAACCCACAAATAGTAAAATAATATTTACCGGGTTAGCTAAGTATTATATAATATTTATTACTGCACCAAACAGTGAGCGTTGACTAACCACTCGCGATGTACTGTAGTGCTCTGCACTTGCTTCAATTCAATTCTTGTGGAAATTATTATTTTTTGATGGTGGTATTTTCAATCAATTTACCGTTACTTAATTTATCAACATCACGTGAAATCAATATACTTGAAGTTTATTTTTCTTTTTTCAATTTAAATAATATCATATCTAATTTTATGTGCTACTTGTCTGTTCAAAGTACTAACACCAGTTATTCAAAAAGTAAACTTACCGAATGAAGGAGGATTCTCTGTCCGCTTTTGGGACAGGTAAACCGTACAAGTCACTACTATCAGTGTAACTAACAAGGCGCCCTTTCTAAAAAAGAAAGAAATAGTTTTTAGAGTTGTACTTTAATAACATTATTAGTATAATAGTCTGGCTGATGCCCGCGACTACGTCTGCGTCTGAAGGCGTAACATTCCGACAGATATACATAAAATATGTATATAAATTATAGCCTATGCCTTATTCTGATGTAGAAGCTATATTATTGTAAAGTTTCATTAAAATCCATTCAGTAGTATTTGCGTGAAAGAGTACCAAACATCCATTCATACATACAAACTTTCGCCTTTATAATATTAGTAAGAGAATAAAGATAGTAAGGACACATTGGATATTATATAAATTCTATGGCATTTTGTATAAATCATAGTTAGGCCTCGCAACAGGTTTGAATGTTGCTAGAATAGCCAGGTCCGTCCGGGGAAATACCACGACCTCACTGAGGACCGCCAGGAAGTGGAAGTATAACTTCGCTTTCGTCTGGTGGGTAGGTAGCCGGAGCCTATTTTTTAGAAGGCTGTCAACGCATCTAGAAACCCTCGGGTGTAGCAGACGTCCATGGGTGGCGGTATTCACTTAACATCAGGTGAACCGCCTGCTCGTCAGGCAACGATTCACATAAAAAAAAATTATCACAATCTTTACAAGTGTAATAAAGGTCAGTTTAAATGTCAGTTTAAGATATAAATTTTCTTAATGAAAATAACTTTTAAGGCTTTTATGGCGATTTATTTTCATTTTAAACACCCGATGTTTCGAATGCAAAATAGATCTATCGGTAACAATAAAAACTGATCCTATGCAAAATTTACTCTAATGTTCCCACAATTAGGAAGTCAAATATTCTCACAGAGCACACAGTCGAATATTCTCATAGTGAAATGGGCGAATGTGTCAAATATTTTTCATAAGAATTTGAACTTATTCACTCAGGGTTCTGAATTTGATGATGACTCAGTGGTGCAGTTGCCAAGGTATGGGCTTCAGCGCCGGGCCTCGTCGGTTCGATTCCCACGCGGGACTACTATGATACTACCCAAGCGGGACTACCCACAGATGATTTTTTTTGTTTTTTTTTTTCTCTCCTATTTTTAAAACATTGCCCTTACTTTAGGACAACATTATCCTGTGTTGTAAGGACGTTTTACAAACATTTTTCACGGAAAAACACGCAGATGCGAAACTAATATCTGTGCGTCACAAATATAGTTGACCCGTGCGGGAATCGAACCCACGCCCCCGACGCCGAGGCCAATACCTTGAGCCACGGAGTCATCAAAATGTTTCGGATCTGGGTGAAATTAATGCATGTAAACACAGGATAACGTTGTCCTACAGTAAGAGCAATGAGTAAAAAAAAGAGTTCACTATCAACTATCTCAGATTACAAAACGGCGACCTGACGGTTTACCTGATGTTAAGAGGTAACCAGCGCCAAAATGTCCCATTTGCATCACCCGTAGGGTTGCAGATGCGTTGCCACCTTTCAATAAAGTGGGCCCCGGCTACCTCACTCGCCAGACGAAACGCAGAAGCGTAACACTTCTACTTCAAACAACAGTGAACACTGTTGCGTGACCCTACCGCAGTTATAATAATTAATTTGATCGTATATTTTATCCTATTGCTTTTTACATTAATTTGTTTTGTTACCGCTCCGCGCGTATCGCTTTAAAAATCACTCGCAAGGGTAGAAAAAGTAATGAAATGCATTATTTATCTTGACATTGCTATAAACAATCCTGTTTAAGTAGTTCCACTTTCACGCGAAAAGACCTTATGTAAAACTCCGCCAGAGGACGCTTATGTTCAAGGTCTGCGTATCAGTTACTTGTATTTAAAGGTCACATTGGATGGCTTGCAATTTTTCACTAACAGTTCATTATTACCAAGGTCCAAAAACGTTAAAAAAAAGATAAAATGAAAAAACATAATGCAAAAGACAAAAAAACAAATAATATACGTAATAGACAAGAATGAGCGTCATAATTGTATTATAAACCATTTCGCTACTACTTCCCAAATTACTTCACGAGCCATTGTTATAAATTAATGTGTCGCAAGTAAATATCATACGACCAGAACAAAAAAAAACAACTTGTATACGTACTGACAAGAATGCAACTGTTATACGTAGTACGTAAGGAACTGATACTTTTTCTAACAAATTATTCCGAGACTGCTTCAACGCATCTGTAACCCTCGGGTGTAGCCGATGTCCATGGGCGGGGGTCTTCACTTAACATCAGGCGAACCGCCTGCTCGCTTTACAACTTTTCACATTAAAAAAAAGCGTATATAAGCACATGTCCCATCAGTATATCGAGCATGCTTTCGAGAAATTATTAATCCCGTAGTGAGGTCATTTTGTATCTCCGCAGCTGGCTTGTTTGCCACGTCTTAGCGATATCATCAACTAAACTTGCTTCGTGTAATATAACTGTATGATAAACAGACATTACGTTCGGAATAAGATTTTTTTTTATCAAAAAACATTCGCACAATAGACTATAAACGCAGTCCTTTAAAAGATAATTGAAATTGTAGGACAACATTTGTATAACAATGTATTTATGAATAAATTATACACGGAAAAACACGCATCAGGAAAAATTACCTGATGGGCATGCACATTGCTTGTGCGTGGGAATCCAACCCAAGATTCGTGACATCGAAGACAGCGCAAAAACCAGCGCAAAAGCCATTTTGTGGTGAAACTCGTACAAACACACAAACTTTCCATATTTAAAGTATATCATCATCCTCCTGCCCTTATCCCACTTAGGTGGGGACGGCACAACATATGAATAATGTGTAAGCGGTTTTGGCTACATTTTTTACGACCGGCCGCCTGCCTACCATGAACCCTTTTCGAGAAACATACATTAAGATCCGGAACAAATATCTGTGCGGTCACACAAATACTTGTCCCGTGTGGGAATCGAAACCGCGACCCCCGTCGCCGAAGCCAATAGCTTGGCTACGGCGCTACTGAGTCATCTGTTCAGTCCAGTTCACATTTAAAGTATAAAGTTACTAAATATATTACAGCAAGACGTTTATTCCGTCAGCGTTTTCATCGGGTTGCCCTGGCACCTCGCATCTAATGGTCATCTTGTGGGGAGAGCTCAGATGCCCCAAGTGACTCTGCTTCAACAGAACCCTCGCAAAGGCCTCCACCGATTTCGGTTTGCAGACTCGCGGCAAGCACACGCCCCAATCCATTTCATTGAAGCGCTGAAGCAATCCCGTCTTGGACTGCGAAAGAATAAAGTTAGGGGCAAAGAAAGGAAGAGATGTAACCTCTTTTTTCTTCTATGACAAGTTTCAATGCTAGTATATAATTTAGTAGTGACTCCGTGTCAAAAGCGGGATAGATCTTTTGGTGAGGTTTTAAATAAGATTATATTATGCTTTCAGGAGAAATCTTAACATCTTTTTTCTTAAGATCTTTTTTTTCGAACATTACACTCACTTATAAGTAATTCAAAGTAAAAATATCTTAGTATAAGTAATTGTTTAATGTTAAAGTAAGCCTCATTTTGAATCGATTCACATTTTAAGAAAGCTAAAAAATTAATAAATTATATCTCGAAGTTAGGTCTATGTCATCTTTAGATCTTATTTTTCTTTTGTATTTCTAAATATGGTAGTAGTATAAGGCGACGGAAATGACAATAAGCTTGTCAGGGTTAACACTTTAAGTAATCGCAGCTGTAGGAGAGACATTGTTGAGAAAAAATAAAAAAATGGCGCTCCTGGCTTAGAAGAAGATAATATGATGCAGTGACTATATTCGCATAGCTCTATTTGGACTATGTGCGTGATTTGGCGACTGTGTTGGCGTGGAACAGTGAACTACTGTAGTAATTGATAATTTATTGTATTTACGCGATTACACATTATAAATGAAACTAATTTTACGGATTTATCGCGTTTATTTTTAATTTAATTCCCGACGTTTCGAAACCTTTAAAACAACTATGTCTTGCTGACAATGAAACAATGGTCAGTTTTGATGTACAGTCTTTATTTACATGCCTACCATTAGAAGACTGCATCTCAATTGTAACAAGGAAGCTAAAAGAGAATAACATGCCGGAAGAGTATGCATTACTACTTAAACATTGCCTAACATCCGGCTATTTGCTTTGGAAGAAGGAGTTTTACATACAGATAATGGTGTAGCAATGGGCTGCCCAGTATCTACCATTGTCGCTGACATATTTATTGAAGACTTTGAGGAGAAGGCCCTTCGCACAGCTCCCATTTATCCAATTTTTTATAAGAGGTATGTAGATGACACCTTCACCATTTTACCGACAAGTAAAGTTAATGCATTTCTAAATCATCTTAACTCAGTAAATTCCAAAATACAGTTTACTATGGAATTAGAGAATAATAACTCTTTAGCTTTCTTAGATGTTTTGGTCGTCCGCAATCCAAATAACACTGTAAGCCACACTGTGTATAGGAAGGCAACCCATACAAATAGATACCTAAACTGTGACTCTCACCGCCATCCATCCCAGTTAGCTAGCGTGGGTAAATCTTTGTTTCAGAGAGCACAAGGGATCTGTGACAAACAACACCTGGCCGCTGAGCTTCAACATGTCAAGCAAGTTCTGCATGACAGTAAGCTGCGAGCACCGCGCCTACGTCACAGTGACCGAGTGAAACCAGCCACAGTGGTGCTGTTCTACCATACATCAGAGGAGTCACTGACAAGATTCGTTATATCTTAAAGCAGGCTTCAATTAATACATTCTACAAGCCGCTGAAGAAGATTAGTCAGTTTTTACCATCTGTCAACTGTAATATCCCTCTGCAAGATCCAGGAGTGTACACACTTGACTGTGAATGTGAGCTCTCTTACATAGGACTAACGAAAAGAGCAATAAAAACCCGCGTGAAAGAACATATAGCTGACATAAAACATAATAGATTGAACAAGTCTGCAGTTTATGAGCACACCTTAAATCAGCCCAACCACTACATCAGGTTTGATAGACCACAGATCCTTGCAAAAGAACACCGATTTCTCCCAAGGATGATTCGCGAGGCTATTGAAATTAAAAAACACCCTAATTTCAATAGAGAAGAGGATTGGGTGCTACCATCAGCTTGGGATCCTGTCATCAATAAAATTAAATCTAGACCCAAACGAACCCCTACTGCAAGACAAAATACAATTAGCTCCCTCTGCATAGATCGGACACAAAATTAATAATTCAAAAACTGACAGTAGCGCGGGTTAACCTGTCTCAGTCTGTCCCGTGACCATGAACGCTGTAAAGGGTTCGAAACGTCGGGAATTAAAACTAAAAATAAACGAGATAAATCCGTAAAATTAGTTTCATTTATACTGTAGTAATTTTTGAGAGCCGTCCGAGAGAGTCCGGCCTTTAGTTCAATGAAGTTTTAACCAATGAAGTTTTTAACTTTAATTGCTGACTTATCACGTGCTCCGCTGTGAAGGAAAACATCGTGAGGAAACCTGCATATTTTCGAAATAATAACAAAAAAAAATATATTTCGGAGATATGTGAAGTCCGCCAATACGCAGTGGGGCCGCGTGGTGGACTATGCCCTGAAACCCTCTCTATAGAGGAGGCCTTTGCCCAGCAGTGGGACATGTATAGGCTGTTACTTTACTTTTACTTTTAATTTTTGATTCTTTTATTACTGACTACTACTGGTTAGCATTTCACCAACATTACTGCTTATGATTGCTGAAGATGCAGAAGTAAATCTTAAATGAGATAACTCATTTAAAGCCTATTCGGTCGTCTTAAAAAGACACTGCAATATGACAGAAAGTTAGACATGAGAATTTACTCTCACTGAACGCATAACAAGCAATTGATGTCTCAGACAACTATACGTGTCCCCACAGATAATTATTATGAATCTGAATCCGCGTGAAATTTATATATATAAAACGTCCTTACAACACAGAATAAAGTTATCCTACTATAAGGGCAATGTTTTTCAAAGAAAAGAAAAAAATATATGAAACAAAACGTGCGAATTTCAACAGCAAGAAACAAAGTAAGATTCAACACTCACTCGTATATACTCATCCGCTGAGCCGAAGGGATCTAGACTGTCAGGCAGACTAGTGATCTTCGAAGTGGCTTGTAGGAGGACATTAGCTACGCAGTACTGCGTGGGAAATGGTGGGCGGGAGGCTGCCACCTTTTCTCGCAAACATTGATCGTAGTTCCCGAGGTGGTACCTCGAACCGAATAACTGTCCAGCTGGTAGCTGCATGCTGTCCCACACTGCAGGAAGCGATTAATCGACATAGCTTACGTATTATAGGATTACTATACTATATATGGACGAGTAAATTGTTTTATTAACGAAAAACCAAAACCTACTTCAAATATCTCGCTCTGTATTCATTTTATGATTGATTTTTAGGAGTTCCCTAAGTATCTCCGGAACCCAAGATCCATTAACTATGAAATTAATATGGGACCACGTGGGGAGCGCCAACTTCCAAATAAAAAAAGAATCATCAAATCGGTCCACTCAATCGAAAGTTCTGAGGTAACAAACATAAAAAAAATACAATTGAATTGAGAAACTCCTCCTTTTTTGAAGGCGGTTGAAAAGTTGTTGGCATAGAGGATGCTAAAATATTTAAAGTAATATACGTTGTGATGCACATGGTTCATTAAGTGATTGCATGTTGGATGTATTATTAAAACTGAGCTGTTGGAAGCGATGACCTCTTCCCATTGCTCTAAAGCCTAGAGAGATTTCAACCACTGACAAATTAAACTTTTGGTCAAAACTCACCGGTTGAAAAGCAATAATACACAAACGTTTGCTAGTACGCCGCTCTTCTGTTCTTTCTAGCCTTTTCGAGCTGACCCATTCAGGGCACAAGACCTAAAAACTAGTCTCTACCACACTGACAAGACAATGTGAACAGAGAAAGGACCTAGCGTTCTTGGCAATAAGAAATACTCACCCCATGTTGCCCAAAGGGTGGCGTTCTTCGCATTGTGAATTGTATCCAGAATCTGATCCAAGCAAATCTTTTCGTCCTCCCCCCAACTTATCGATGACAACCGCTCGATTAATATGTCAAAGTTAGATTCGTAACGTTTGGCCAGTTTTGTAATTTTCGTGGTGCCATTTTGACCTACTAATTGATGAGCGGCTACAGTCTGTACTGTAAATTAAGTTTTTAAAGTAATAAATGATAAATTATTACTAAACCAACGATTCGTCCACTGTCGAAACGGTGGTAGATTACAAAAAAATACTATCGATAGATGAAATTTATGATTCTCATGTCGATGAATAAATGGTTTTGATTTCTTTTTGATTTTGATACAAATATACGAGGATTTAAGCAATTCAGAGAACCGGTCGAACCCATTGAAAAATTTCTACAGCGGCTTACCAATGAGAGATGAAAGTAGGACAACTATCGTGGCAACACTCATTTTTGCGTCGGCGAGGTACGCGACAGAATTGTTTATTATTGCACTACCTTTATCTTATTAATTCCAAACATTTTAGAACAACACAAGTTACAAAGTGAAATTATGATACCGAAGCGCGGCCCTCGACAACACTTGTATATATAGATTCAGTTTACTCTTGGCGCGACCTCGCAAATCATTAAAGCTCCGTGCAGACGGAGCGGATGCGCGTTTTATCCGCAAAGTTAAATAAGTCACTGACGTTTTTAATATAGTTTTTTTGCTTAAGGGTTAGGACAGTTAATTATTGGCGATTTGGTCAAACGCATATATCAAAAAGTTGTGTGTTTTCTGTGTTTATTTTTGAGGTCCTTCCGCCTAAATTATATTAATCCAGTGCGACACGAGGCCTAAGACATCCGGTACTAAGGTAAGTATACCACCGACTCCTTGACTATTAGCACATCTCAAATATATATTTATCTCTTTCCTACACTGTACCAAACCGAAGTTATGCCAGCGCACGACAGAGTAGTTCACGTTTTTCCTTGCCACACCACAGGGAAGTTGCACGAGGGATTATATAGGCCTTTTTTTTTTTTTTTGGCTGGATGAGCCACTGTTGGCCTTAGGGGCCTTTACAGATCCGACGGACTTGAGGGGCCGGGCGCTCGAGGCGCCTAGCCTGAACCTCGCGTATTTATTATTACGCGTTACTAAGCTCGAGGGCTCCCGAAGGAACCTCGGCTCGGGCCGTCACGCCAACTAATAGTTTCACTGGTTTGGGAGGCCGCCAAGCTCTTAGGGCGCTTTGGCGGACGCTCCATGGAGTGATCAGGCTCAAGGGTCCCCGAGAGGGTACCTCGGCTTGGGCTGTCACTCAGCACGCGTTTAGCATTCCGATTCGAGGGTGCCCGAGAGGGCCGGACCTCGGCTCGATCGGTAGCTGTTGACTGACTGGGATATAGGGCTCGTTACACAGTTGTGTACGTGGGACGTGTTTGCGAAACGTCGCGGAATCTGAATGAAAAATAGGGAGTTTTTAGGTGCATTTTGCGGCAAAACGAAACTAAACTAAATGTAAGTAATAATTATCAAATATAGATTCCTCCTTCATCTTCAAATCCTAGCTATTTTTAATCGAAAATTTTGGTTCATAGTATTGTAAATGAGAATTTTCGTTTCCACGTCACTTAAAATGGAGGATATCCTGTTGGCTTTATTAACATTTTTCTCTTATTAAATCACATATTTTTATATTTAAAAATATTTTATGTTCAACTCAAAAAGGTTGCTAATTAATTAAGTATCAAATTATTTAAAATAGTCTCAGAAAAAAATAAAGATTAAAGTTTATTTCTTTTACATTTAGATCTTAAGTGATTAAGATAAAGGTTATTTTACTGGTCACTTTCTTGATTGATTGCAGAAAAATATGTAAAGAAATAATAGTCTGCGCTCGGCTGCCGTGGTGAGTGGACACTGTGTCGCTTGCAAACAGTAGCTCGTGAGGAAAAAGATCGCTGTAACAATAGAAAATATTTGTCATAACAAAGTTGATATTTTACACATTCGGACTGCGAACGACAAAAGTAAAATTTAATTCACACTGACATTTTTTACTAGATAACTTCTAGTAGTAGGGATTACAAATTCATATTTCATCACGGACTTAATGGAGTGACCTGAAGGTACTCCAAGAACTGCTACTGAAAGTAACAGACGAGATGAGTTATGTGTGTCGAGTTTAAGCTTGTTTTGTTAGGTATGTTGAGACCTTGCCTTTTGACTTGATGGAGTGACGTGAGGGTGTAATTTGAAGACTGCTACTGGAACTAATAGACGAGAAGAGCTACATGTGTCGAGTTTGGGCTTCTTTTGTTAGTTATGTTGAGAACTTGCCTACTGACTTGATGGATTGACGTGAAGGTGTAGTTTATAGACTGGAACTAAGAGATGAAAAGTTATTGGTGTCGAGTTTGGGCTTGTTTTATGAGTTTTTTTTAGACGTTACCTTTGAAATTGAAGCATTAACCTGAAGGCGTAAGAATACAGTACAAAAGTTATTTAAAATATGGAACTATGTATTCTACATTAATTCTGTGTATAAATATTTGTAAAACATGTTAATGTTTAAAGTATAATTAGCAATATAATTGAAATTAAGATTATAGTAATAAGTTAATAGAGTATAAATATAAGTCAAAGTAAACCACAAGTCATAGTAATGAATTTTTAAAATAATAAACATTCTAGATTACGTATAATAGACATGATTAAATATTTTAAATGTCTAATTTGACAGTGTACAGATTTGATGTAGATAGTCTTTAGAAACAATTATTTATGAGCCATTTTGTTTAACTTTAAATACTCCGGGAGGTCTATGAATCTGGTACTTTATTATAAATTCTTATTTCTATGCAGCCAAATGCTGGCCAAAAGTACACCACATGTAGAAAAGTTATATGGATAATTAAAAATTCAAGTTTTTTTTTTCGTAATACAAAACAAATTTTCACACCTGCAAATTATAATATTAATGTTTTAAAGGTCATTTTTTTGTATATTTCAATTAATAGGTGTAATAAACATGTACCACTTCAAAAGTTTCGAACGACAGCCAAGTGGCAGACTTATTGTTTTACGTTTATGACCCGCTTATCGTTTATTGTTTTGTCGTGTTTCGCGCTGACCAACTTTTATGATCATGGATTCTGCCTAAAGGAATACTTAATTTTTTAAATAACTTACAATCTTTTGAAACAAATGTATTTGTAGTAAAAACGACTTTAAAATAGGCAAAACACGAAAAAAATTGTTACGTTAAAATGTAGTGGGTCTCAACTTAAATTATCAAAGACTTATCATGTACAATCGTGGCACAATTATCGCATACAACGTTTATGCGGTATTATTTATATTATGATAAAATTTTAGCAAGCTACTACTTCGATATAGCACATGAATAATAACACATTAAATGATAGAGAACTATACAGAGAAATCACAAAGACACAGAGCACCCCGACTCCGTGTGGTCTTGTCTCCATATCTGGTCTGGTCTCCCTATCCCTAGAGTGAACATAAAAAGGCGAAGCCAGAACCTCGTGTCGAAGGTATAAAATTGGCCTCGCGTACTTGCTCCACCCAGGGTCAACATAGCGACAGTTCTGGCGAAGGGCATGGAAGAGCGCATATAAAAATGAAACAATATATTTTTTTTTATATATATTGAAATATCTTACTAGCCTGGCTTCGTACGCCACGCATTATTTCCAATTCATTTACAGAAAATTATTTTAGCATGAATATTATTGAATCATCAAAATGCATTTAGAATACCATAAAAGTATTTTACGTGATTCGTTTGCGGGTTGGATAATTTCAGTTTGTTGGACAATTTCAGTTGCTCCCTATCAAGCTATCTTCCTACCGATTTGTACGCATAATCAAACATGTAAAACAAGCTTTTTTTATGTGAAAAGTTGCCAAGCGAGCAGACGGTTAACCTGATTTTAAGTGAACACCGCCGGCTATAGACATCTGCTACACTCGAGGGTTGCAGATGCGTTGACAACCTTCTGAAAATTGGGCTCCGGCCACCTCACTCACGACGAAACGCGAAAGTATTATACTTCCGCTTTAAATTGGTCTTCTGTGAGGTTGTGGTACTTACCCGGTCGGGCCTGCCCATTCGTACAAAGTTCGCTGCTGCGTGGCCCTACCACCGTAAAAGCTCCTTTTATTTCACAAAATTTAATTAAAAACATAAAATTAAATTATATACATAATTAATTAAAACGCAAATTGTCAACAACTACGTACTTTCAAATTAAATAAATTATAACTAAAAATCTAAAAAATATATAGTTTAAAAACTTAAAAAAGCTTAAAATGACTGCAAATTAAATAAAAGTATCAAGTTGCGTCAGTTGGATAAAATTTCGCCGCTTTGCGCTGGTCGCTGTGTGCATGAGCTGTGCAAGTGTAGTAGTACGCCTCTGTACCTAAATTGTGAAGCGTGTGCATTCGTAAACGCGTCCTTAAGTATTTCAATTATATTAACCATATTGACTTCTTGATTTTATGCGAATATTATACATATTAAATGAAACTAGTTTACGGATTTTATCGCGTTTTTATTTTGATTTGAACTTCCCGACGTTAGAAATGATATTCATATATTTTTAAAGTCAGTGAATGCGCAAGTGTTTCTGCGGCTGCACGAATGGGCTGGCCCGTTCAGAGGAGAAGCACTGCCTCGCAGAATACCGGTGTGGAATAGAAGTGGTTTGATTAAATTTTTTATGGATTTAAATTGATAATTGATGCGTTAACCAGGCTCGATACTTTTAAACTTAAGCAACACCTCCGCTACCCTCCTGACATATATATAAATAAATAAATATATATAATATAAATAAAAATAGCTATAACGACGTAAGGGCAGAAGATGGGTTGCTAAAATTTAAGACAGTGGACCATTCAATTGCCAAATCATTGTATTTTAACAGTAATTTAGATTTAACATAGACCGCTAATGATGTTAATGACCCACTACTTAACGGGTGCAAATAGTTACGACACTTTACACGCAGGATGACATGCACTCACTACTCTGTTTAGGGTTCCGTTCCCAAAGGGTAAAAGGGGACCCTACTGCTAAGACTCCGCTGTCTCTCTGTCCGTCCATCTGTCGCTGGGCTGTATCTAACGAACCGTGATAGTTAGTTAAAATTTTTACTGCTGATGTCCTACTGTTGCCGCTAAACTAACAAATAAATCAGACTGACTATAAAGCAGAAAAAAATATTTAAGTGGGGCGCCCATACAACAAACATGATTTGTTGCTGCCTTTATAGATAATGGTACGGAACCCTTTGTGCGCGAGTACGACTCGCAATTGGCCCGTTTTTTTATAATTATTTTACATAATATCATAGCAAAAATCATGCATGGTACTACCGCGCGTCTTTTAACAGCGTGCGAACCGCCTCGTCTGTTAACAGCCTAACATC